TATGATTTTGACATTTTCATAAGCTTTAAACCATTGCCTTTCCACATATTTATTTATTTTAACATGAGAACTTTAAAAACGTTCATAACTGAACGGTCAATGTGAGTTGAATTAAAATAAAAAATATCAATTATCTGAGCATTTTCGTTACATTACGTCATACGGGATTTCGTGCTTTAAGTGGGCTGAAATTTGAAATGGCACGTGTGCAAAAACGTTTGTTATCAATTCGTCTTTCAAAACACATTTTTATTTTTTACATATCTATGATCTATGATATATAACCTATGAAAAGAATTATTTTCAAATTAATTGCTAGGTTAATTCAATAAACAATTCTGAGGTATATTTGAACTTTAATTCCATAGCAGATGTAATTCGGACAAAAGTTTTAAAATTCAAGAAGAGATTAAATCGATCAAAATAAATCTTATAATTCAAACAAGTCGACAATACTTGGTTCAGTTCTTTCATTTTCAATCATACCAAGGTGATAGATTAACATAAGTGACCTTTCGAAAACATACCGTTTTTGTAGAAAATGAAAGAAAATCGCGTTATAACACGAGTAATTGTCAAGTTCACGTCTTAAGTTTGATGTGGTAAAAAGCATTCTTCATAAGTCACACATTTAAGTTAAGGGAAGCCAAGATCATTTTAAAAATGAAACATTTGAATAGATATTTTTAACATTGAAATAAGAAAGAAAGTAAGCTTATACTAGTAGATTTGCTAGAACTAGCTGTTTGGAATTCATCAACTTTTCTCCACAGGATCATTTTGTAGTACAAATGCAGGTCATTCAAAGGAAGTGTAGGTTTCAACATCCCCGTCTATGAATATTGATCTTTTTCAGACAGCAAAGGTAAGTTTAAAATAGAATTACTTCTTACGAATCCAAATTACATTTAAACTTAGAATTGTGATCTACGATCTTATGGGTATGTCACAAATTTGATTAGATACATTCACTCAGCAGGCCGTTAAACATGTAATTAACTTTACAAGCGTAACTATAGGCAACTTCGATTTTAGTATGTTCAAGTTCAAGTTCTGTAGTCTCGAGAGTCAAATGATTATCATAGTTTATTTGGTCTGCTTTTAGAATTGGGAAAACGAAGGCAAGGTTCATGTTTTATGAACATTCCGATTTGATAGCAAACTTTATTTTTGAGTGTATTAAATCAAATAAAGCTTATTGCGTCGGGACCTGTACGTTCGCCCAATTAAAAGCAAATGTGCCGTCAATTAAAGAAACATGCACAGTGGTACACCCTTTTTGGAAAACATAACACTGATAATAAAAATTCATCAATTGTTATGAAATTTGCACCATCATTAAAAAGAATCTCGAATTTCATGATGTAAAAATATCGGATAAATATGACAAGAAATAAAAATTTGTTACATTTTTCCCCAAAAAGTTGTAAAATAAAAATAAACTAAAAAAATAATATTTTCACGACAAAAAATAGATAGGTCAACTGTATTGATTATACATGACGTTTTCAAAGAGTAGAGAGCTAGATTCAAAGCACTGTTCCTGCAAGTTTCAAATGAAAATATTAAAAACTGCGCGAGTAAGAGGACCGCAACTTTTTATGTCTACACTGACAAAAACTTGAAATTCACGTTGTAAAGATATAGTCCATCGCGGAAGTGCACGTCATAAAGCTGATGGGTTAAGGCAATGTGCCGTCCAACTGTATATTGTGCATGTGGCGATTCACGACCCAATTTGATCGAAAATGGGATTTCATATGATACATTATCACAAGAGCTTAATGCATGCACAGAATTAACGACGATAAAATCCAATGAGGACCAAGTGATTAAACAGTTGAAGCGACGGTTATGTCCGCCATTTGTGACAACGGTATCTGACTTTACCGTAGTCAGGCTATTCCGGTGTGATGCAGTGTCTCGATATAGACACTGCGGCGGGCAGATAAAGACAAATACCACTGGAATCAGCATAAAAAGATCTATAATTCTGCGTTTTTTAGATTTTTAAATTGAAGTCTCAATAAAAAATTAAATGCTAAAATAATTCCATTTTGAAAAAAATCTAACTGCGCCTTCTTGAATTATGACGTCACAATGACACTATCTCATTTGCATATTCAATTTTTTTCAAAAAACAAAAAAGTATGGGTATAGCCCTTCAAAATGATATATAACTTATTGGGTGTTGCTTCCTTTTCTTGCTTCTAGATTCATTTACATTTTAGTTTTTCATTTCTTTCCATTTTCCCAAAAATAATCAGGCATGAGAGAGTTAAGTTAGATTTGAACTTTTGAGAACTTGTAGATAATTTTGAAAAAATGGTCAATTTGAAACAAGTTGAAAAAAGACATTTTTGACTTTGAGAAGGTCATTGAAGGTCAAGTATTTTTTTGACCTTGAGAATGTCATTGAAGGTCAAATCTACAATGTGTCTCAAAAAAGGTTACACTTACAAAAAGTTCAATATCTTTCATAATTTTGACTTTTCTCCCAGGGTGTCCGGAAAGTAAAGATACAAATGCTCTCATTTCAAGAGATTTACCTGTTATGAGATGAAATTGCTACAGATCGTAGAATGACATTATAAGAATATATCCTACAACTGTCATGACTTTTAGTTTCAAAATGAAAAAGTTATGGTTGTTATGGTAACGAGAGTCAAGGGTAAGTGGAGCAACGTCACAACTGTGTTCTACAAATCTCTTTCCTTCTCATATGATCTTGGCACTCCACCATCTATTCCTATATTATATCAAATTATGTACCACAACAGCATAAGGATTAGTTCTTTAACATTATTTGATCATTTCATATTACTACTATCATTGAATATTCAGTATTTTCCCCATTATCTATACATTCTTGGTGCATCTTGACCGGCGATTCAAAGGCCTGGCAAAACCGCTGCTGTCCATCTCTTAGATTCCTGATAATATTGGCTTCCAGCTGAGTCTCATTTGTATGTTGAACTTCTTACAAATATTGCTTTCAAATGGTCATTAAAAAAGGTAGAAGTCTAAAGAGGCTTTATCAGGTGAATATGGGGCATTGTATAGAAAGGTTTAATGTCAAGACACTCAATTGTAAGATTTGTTTTTTGCTTTGTGAATTGATGCATTGTGGAGATGCAATATTGACTTTCCTACTATAATGGCCAGGGACCATTCTTCTAGGCACTTGTATAATATTTCTTTCATTATACTGGTTAGTGACATAACATAGTTCTGATATGTAGCAATGGCATCATTATATAAAAGAAAATACTATGGCAGCAATAAAACAATGATGAACTAAACAAAACATTGATAGAAAATACAACAAAAAACACTGTTTCAAATGGTTGTCTTTTAGCAATTTTTCACTTTTTAGCGTTGTTCTGGAACTGCTCCGCATACCCCTCGTATCCGTAACTATAACAACCGTAACTTAAACACATTTAGACTATATGTGATGAAAGTTGGTAGATATATTGTAATATTGTTTCTCTACAATCTGTAGCAATTTCATTTCAAAAAACTCAAATTTCTTAAAATAAGAGTATTTGTATCTTTACTTTCCGGACACCCTATACTTTGTATACCAAAAGACAAATCTTCCAAGAATAATTTGACACCATCAGATTCAAAATCTGTCCTTGGTTGACTGCATAGGACAGCTTTTAGTGTCCCATGGTGAAATCTGACTTGCGCCAACGTCTAAGTGATTCATTGGATGAACCAAATGACAAAATAGGAACAGTTTCTTTAACATTTTTCTTCCGAGTTGAAGCTTGACCTTTAATGAGTCATTCTGTTATTTTCCTATTTGTCTTACATATGATCATTGGGTCTATCCACATAAACATAAACATGTGGTCCCCTCAACATGTTCTCCAAAGCAAATCTGAGGTACCTTGCCCATGCGCACATGGATTGTAATATTACACTGATTCCATCAATTATTTTTGCAGAAGTTCATTTAGGTCAGTTTATGATGTTGTAAAACACTTTCAGAGGCCCTTCAAAAATCAAGGGTGTAAAGTGGAATGACCCTGGGGGCCAATCCATTGGGTAATTCAATGCTATCTTCTAATTTCCAAAGAGTTCTACCAAACGATCTGCCACAGGCCTTTGCACCATCCTGTTGCCATCATAGGTAACAAAATTGAACACTCTGACCATGGAATCTTGTATTTCTATCCAGGAAAAAACAATTGGATCATTGATCATATCAAGATATCACTGTCCACAGCATTCACACCAAAAAAGAATTGATCACTACATGTCCAACCACTGAGAAGTTAGCGCAAATCAGATTTCACATGCGTCTATAAAATCTGTCCTGCGCAGCCATCATGGACGGATTTTGAATCTGATGGTGTGGATTTATTCAAGAAAGACTGGTTTTTGGTATCTAAGTATACTTGGTGGAAAAATCAAAATCACGAAAGATATTATACTTTTTGTAAGTGTAACATTTTTTGAGACACATTGTATAGTCAGTTTTGAACATTTGAAAACTTCTAGATGACTTTGAAAAAAATTGGTCAAATTGAAACAAGTTGAAAAATATCCATTTGACCTTTTTTTGACCTTGAGAAGGTCAAATCTCGAATCTAACGTCAAATTTGATAAGTTGCACATGATTTTAAAAATAGAATTTGGCCAATTTGAAGCAAGTTGAAAAAAGAGCTTTTTACCTTTTTATTTTTCCTTTTTGACCTTGAAAAGGTCACTGAAGGTCAAGTCTTATATATAAAGTCAGATTTGAACTTCTGAAAACTTGTAGATGATTTTGAAGTTTTAGAATTGTTGCAGACGCCAACCACCAACCGCCGACGCAAAAAAAGCGGAGACCATAACAAAATGTCACCACTTTTTGGCGATGACAAACAAAATTGTGAAATCCCAGCTGTCATGTTGAAAATGTCTTCAAAATTCAGTTTGCTTCTTTTATAACAATTTTCAAGCAAGAAAATACAAAATAATCTTATTATAATTGTGTGTGATTTCAGAGGGGCAGTTCTAGTGTTCTACTTCAGTTGAGTGAGGGACACACTGTCCATATAGCACTTGAGTACTACTATAATTACTACGTCACCCTTGGCCAAGAATCAACGTTCAGTGGCTTTCTCCTTCAACACGGGCAGCAGACATAAGCATGTGTATAATCAGAAATTACCAGTGCTAGAAAATAATTGTAGGACAGTCAAATATATAGATATTGTAGATTAAATATGCTTAAATGCACAGAAAAATACACATTCATATCAGCTGAGAATTTTGAGATTTGCTCTGAAAAAAATCTCAAAATCATGCAACAATGGAAATGGTGTTTCTTGCAAAGTATATCCTTTCTTATCGTATTTGTACAAAAATATAACAACATAACCCTGGTTGAGTATGAATTGATTAAACTTAAGGGACAGAGTCACTGCTACCCACCTAGTTACACAGACGTATCGTCAGTGTATCATGGCGGAACTACTTCCGGGACTAGGTTTCGGTAAGATTTTTTTATTTCCCGATTTACACCTACTTATAAGTCACGTTGTGGATAATAATTTGGCTCGAAGTTAAGGAAGATAGTCTAGTTTGAGAATGTGTCGATGGTTTTAGGTTTTATATGTTAACGAAGACACAATTCACGTATTTAGTCCCTCGCTTTTGTTACACTGACGTACGACCAATATCAGTGTAATATTGGCAATATTAATGCCGATCGTCAGTGTAACAAAAGCGAGGGACTAAATATGTGAAATGCGTCTTCGTTAACATACCAAACCTAAAACCATCGACAGTCGACACATTCTCAAACTAGACCATCTCAAATAACTTCGAGCCAAATTATAATCCACATCGTGACTTATAAGTACATGTAGATGTAAATCGAGAAATAAAAATATCTTACCAAATTCAAATTCCGGAAGTAGTTCAGCCATGATACACTGACGATACGTCTGTGTAACTAGGTGGGTAGCAGTGAGAGTGCGTAAATGAAGTCTCACTTTTGATCTTCATAGTATTTCCAATGGATAAATAAGTACCTGATTTTCATTCGACACCAAAACAGCTCAAACAGACCACATCGGAGTCGACACTAGATCATGAAAAAATATTTTGGATCTATCAATTTATACAAATTTGTATATGTCAAGTTTTTAGCAATGCCGTAGAAAGATCGCATTGTTGTTTGCATTAATTGTCCATTCATTTTTGATAGGACTTTCAACCATACGCCATTTTTAGTCCAAGAGTTATTTAAAAACATACACTTTGTGAAAAGTGGTAATTCACTTCTTTTGATCTCTGAACTTCAAATGCTGTTTTCTATGCGAGTAATTTTTTTCACTTCAGTATTGACCCAAATTAAAGTTTTTATCATATTGGATTGACTGTGTGAGTGACATGTCTCAAATAATCTTTTGTCCCTTTCCTTCAAAAATAGGCGCATTGCCTGAAAGTAGAATGCGTGTAGACCATCGGTAGTAGTTGTATTATCCATTACTGAATTCGAAGGAAATAAAACAAATCTAGAAAAAACAGTGTGCATGATGACATTCGTTGTAATATGACTTTTAATTTTAATATAAAAATATCAGCAATTGTCAGATTGTGACGGAATTTATAATCTACATGTAAGTGGTCTTGCACTTTAGTTCATGACATCCATTGAACTTCATCACCGTGACACTGCTTTGATTTTGAGTAGAACGCATTTTGTAATTTTGCATGTATCAATGACTTGGATAACTTTGAGGCATGAAATTGGGGAGTTCAATGGATTTGAGATTCTATTGAATTGTTTGGACATCAGTTTACCATGTGTGTTTTAATGTTGAACTGTTTCTAAGCTGGGCCAACGACCCCAAAAATAGAATCAATCTCAGAACAGTGAAAAGCAAACTTCTATGCAGGAATCATATGTAGCAAGCTTTTTTTCAAAAGGATAAATATCTATCAGACCATACATGGTATCTCTATTGTTCAAAATATACTATGACATAGATTGATATGTGGGGGAGAGTGATCACAAAATATTTCAAAGCCATCATAGCCTCGTATGTGGGGTCACAACCAGTGTAAAAGGGTAGAAAGTCCTATCAAATTATGGTCTTACTCTTCATTGATTTATATGGTGAGCTCTTTCCCTTATCTTATACATAATCAGGGCCAGTAAGGGCCGTTAAGAAAGGAGACCATAATCCCTGGGGGACAATAATTTCTTTCGCACCTGCACATTGAATTTATCATCAAGGGTAGGAAATCCATTTAATTGAACATTTCCATTACTCTACCCATACCAAGGATTATACAAACAAAACATAAACAATATATCAATCATAATTTACAGTTTATATTTTCATATTCATATAAAATTGTACACAAAACAAAATACACTGCAAACATTATACTTATAATTTGATGCAGTGTTACAGATCAGGACATTTTAGATACATTTTGTGAAAGGAACAGCCTAGGTTGAAGTCAATACATCATCACACAATATTGTGTGACACAGCACAACATTCAAGATCTATTACATTTTCTTAATAATTTAAAACACATGTTTAGTTAGTGTGGGGATATATAATAATACAGGGTCCTAGCAGAAATTTAGGTAATTTCAGCTATTATTACAAATATCAAAACCTTCATGATTTTTAGAATCAAGTCAGTTCCTAACTGATCTCAAATTCATCATCATCTAAATCAGAGTCTGCATTCAGTGTTATAAAGTTTAAGGTGGAGTATTATCACGTTCAGCATTATGATCCAACAGGTGCATCTGAATGCCTCATATAACATGCAGACACTTTACATGTATTCGCCAGCAACATATAATTCTCATAAATTAAGTTATCCTAGCTGTCCTGATCTGAGAGCCTCTTGATATCCTCCTCCTTCCTTCTGTTCTGGAGCTAGCTTGATCATATCATCTATACGTAATATAGTAATAGCGGCTTCAGTGGCAAATTTCAAACTCTTAACTTTGGAGATTGCAGGCTCAAAGACTCCTGCTGCTTTGTTGTCCCTAACTGTTCCTTCATAGAGGTCTAGGCCAATCCTGCAAATAGAAACACATTGACTGGTCTAGTAGGATATGGAAAACCCTAGGTAGCATAGGGTTCATTATTCTCTGCAGAAATGTCGACCATTTTGTGATTCCACAAATTTTCAATTACGCAGATGCGAGTAGGTAGTTACCAGATTCACCACCAGATGGCTCGTTCAGGTCAGATAGCATGGCGGGTATAGTAGAAAGTTCCCTTTAACTTAAATTACATCTATTTGCGTGGTTCATTTTTCATATAATCCTTATGTATCTAATAGTTATGCAAATTAAAATATGTCCAGTAAAAGAAAATGTTATCTGTCCAATACAAGATAAGATAATTCACTTTTTGTGATTTTGTAACATGGGGTCTATGGGGAATCAACCCGAACAAGAAGTCGCATTTTCAGAAAAAATTAAATTTTCGAAGTTGATAGACAATTTTCGAAACCATATTTCTAGATGTACTTTTACATGCAGATTTCAAATATGACATCACTTTGACAGAATTTAGAATATTTAATGACGTAAATCAAGATCATTTCTAATCGCATCTGGTCTATTGAAGATAAAGTAATTTTCATTTTAACAGCTGGATCCAAGTCCAAATGTTTCAATGATGGAGATCATACTCTTTATAATTTCAAACACATTATGGTTATAGCAATCATATGTACATGTGATATTCTCTCCCATTATAAAATTTGAAGATGCAGTTGAAAGACATTGACAAAAGAATCATTTAGATTGTGGCTTAAAGATAGCTGAAGGTTGGTACCAATGTGTTCCTGAATGTTAACATTGCTTAAGCTAGACTTGAGCAAAATGAAACCTACAGAAGTTAATGTGCCCCAGTAGTATACCATCTGCACTATTGATAAGTTCAGTAGGAAAGTTTCTGGGATATTTCTAAAACATAAATAACTTTGCGAACATTTCATCAACTTCTTGTTTTACATTTTACACTGAGTTATATTTGTAGTGCTGTAACTTGCACAGTAAGGATCAATTTGGCAGTTTTGGCTAAATTCTTACCATTTTAGATCTTTATGCTCTGAAGATGTTTGAGATTTATTATGGTATGCCCTGAGTTTGGCAACAAGATCGGAGGCATCCTGGGCAGCATTTACAGCCAGCTGTTTGGGGATTACTAATAGAGAGTGGGCAAACTCTGCAATAGCAAGCTGTTCTCTTGAACTCTGAAAACAAATTTCAAAATTATGTTAAATATCAAAATAAATATATACTGTAAACTGTATATATTTTACTGCTTCTTCCTCATAACATTACAGCACTTTTGAGATATGATAAAAAAAAAAAATTCAGTACTTCTTATTCTTAACAAGACAGATTGCAGAAGACCATTTTGCCATAAATATTCAAATTTTTCTGAAATCATTTAGTCCAGCTTACCAAGGATGTTGCAAAATTTTCTAGATATATAGAGAGAGCGGCTTCTACAGCGCCACCTCCGGGGACTACAGATTTGGATTCAAGGACTCTCTTTACAGAAGACCATTTTGCCATATTCAATCAAATTTTTCTAAAATCATTTAGTCAAGCTTACCAAGGATGTGGCAAAATTTTCTAGATATATAGAGAGAGCGGCTTCTACAGCGCCACCTCCGGGGACTACAGATTTGGATTCAAGGACTCTCTTTACAACACAGAGGGCATCATGTACAGATCTCTCCATCTCATCAACCATGAAGTCATTGGCACCACGCAGAATAATAGATGCTGCTGTGCGAGCCTTTGACCTGCAATGAAAACACATTGATACAATTATTGATATCATCATAGAAAAAAACAGACCTTTCAGATTGTGTGTCAAAAATTTGACCAAACTGCAACATATTTTTTGCCATGTTTCTAAATTTATGTTTCACCTGATTTTCTACATTTTTCTCAATCCAAAAGTGAAAGCACTGACCAGAAATTAAAGGTTATATTTTTGACCAATTTTATATGACCCCAATTCTTGTTTCTAGATAAATGACAAAGATAACGGCAATGCAATGGCATAGCAAATCTATCAGATACTGTAAAATCTAGGTGAATGTCAGACAAGACTGCTAGAAATCATTTCTAAAATGGCCAATAAAATAGACAAGTAACACCAAAAGGTAAGTGTTATTTTGGCATATATTTCCATACATAAAGGAACCATGGCCTGGACGAATGGACAGATGGCTTCTCTTTATCTTTACTCAAACTGTTTGATTGATCAATGATTCAGTACATGGTATCACTAATCTTCAGCCATACCTCTAATGTAGAATGTGTAAAATCTACTTACCCTTTTACAAGTATGAGTTCATCATCACAAATTCTGACTTGTTCTACTTCATCAGCCTGCCCCAACATGGAGGGTTCAAAGGATTCCTCACCTTCAAGGTTGGCCATGGTCAACACTAACTGGCCTATAACACAACAATGCAATATATAAACAAGTACACAGTATACCCTTTTATTTATGATTCAACTAGTATATATGGTAATTTCTAGTTTTGATAAAATATCCACCCCAACCACAGATTATATATGTATTACCAAAACAGTATTGTAGCTTGGGGGGAAGAATTCATATCACATGCCTGCATGCCTCAATAACATAATAACAAGAATGTATCTGGACAGTTCTGTAGCTAAGACTGAACTTCAGCCAATTGAATCATCCATAAGTTAATGTGCCCCAGTAGTATACCATCTGCACTATTGGCGAGTACAGTAGGAAAGTTTCTGGGATATTTCAGAGTATAATAAGCGGGTGAACCCTGTACACAAAGGTGACTATTTGAATGAGTTGTAAAATATTATTGGTCCCACTACAACATGAACATTGGTTCAAATTGGTGGTATTTAATTTGGCTAATTTTCAAAAAATTTAAACAATTTAGCAGGTTTTAATATCAAATGCACAGAAATTACCCAAATAAATATCTAATTGGCAGAAAATATATAATTTATTTCTTTATTCACTACATTGATTTATTTTTGAGTTCTTGAACAAAAGTGGCAAATCAAAGCAATTAACACGATATGTCAAGATATGTACTTATAGCGAAGACTTCTTTATGATAGAAAAGTTTGGCCAAGTGTAGAAGCTAAGACTATGAACTAAATGTTACCTCCACATGCTTTGGCAATTCTCTTGAGATCAACTTTCTTGCATCTTCTCACAGCCATGGCTCCACCCTCTACAAAGTACTTGAGACATAGATCATCAATGCCCCCTGTAGTAAGAATGACATTGGCTCCTGCGGCAAGAATCTTCTGGATTCTTTCTTTTGTGATGTCAAACTCTCTGTAAAAACATTTATTATGTAGAAGATATCTTAATGATCAGAGGACATCTGTACTTTGAATGCATAATCAAAAAAGGTCAGTTTTGCTAATTTTGCAGTTTTTTTACTGAAATCTATGTCGAAAACCAACGCAAGGAGCGCAGTTTCAAAAGCTCTCTGGTTGGTTCAATGAAACAACCTCGTTGGTCGATTTACCTTATCCAACTGTTAACAATCTTAGAATTCAATGCACATTTAAATGACTGCATCTTAGAGTTCAATGCACATTTATGTGACCGCATCTTAGAATTCAATGCACATTTATGTGACTGCAATCAGACAATACAAGAAACACCAATCACAAGCCTAAGAAATAACAGATGTATCTGGACAGTTCTGTAGATAAAGCCAAACTTTAACTGAATGAAACATCCAGGAGTTAATGTGCCCCAGTAGTATACCATCTGCACTATTGGCGAGTACAGTAGGAAAGTTTCTGGGATATTTCAGAAATTGACATCAAACGCTACATGTACATTAATATGTAAATAAGCAGCAGCCTCTCTTACTTCAATGTTCAGCCATTTGACCTTTACTTCATTGAATGCTTGAAATGTAGTATCAAACTTTACAAACCTTTGTCTCATGTCATCGAGCTTTGTGGGGTCTTCCACTAGCATCTGCACTCCCATTTTCATCTTAGCTTTCTGCAGACTGAAGTCTAGACATGCTATCTTAGCATTAGCAACCTTCTTGGGCATGCCAACTGCAATAACAATTATTTCATTTTTAAGAGCAAATACATTGATGCTGATTTTAATTTAAAGTGATGGATTTAAATGTACAAATAAGCAGATTCCTCAGTGATTCCCAAATACACAGGCTGGTATCGAAATATTTGTCCGCTGTGACGGAGCATGCTTTTTTTCATAAAAACACTAAGAATACTTCACGATTTATTTTTTAACTCATATGTTTCGTTATTCCATACAAAATTACTTACTCCATGCAATGGATATATCATTTGCGCGTAACTTTCACTTCTGTTTGAAGTCCAATTACGCTGGGAAGAAAAGCTATTGAAAATGGCGCCGGAGTATCATACTTCAAAATGTATCATTTCTTGTTTAACTTTCTAATGGCACGATATAGTGACACGATAATATTTACACATGGTTTAAGCATAACTATGAAGGTATAACTGACCCCTGTTACACAGGCCAGTTGAAATGCTTCGTTACGAAGCAATTTGACAAAAAGCTTCGTAACGAAGCAATTTTGGGCCAGTGTAACACCTCCGCCTTCGTTAGAAAAGCTTAGTTGATAACGAAGCAATTGAGTAGAAAATTCAACGAAGGTTAGGTCCCAACGAAGCATTTTTGGCCTGTGTAACAGGTAGCTTCGTTAGAAAATGCTTAGTTGGCGTTTTGCGCATGCGCGTAATAAAGAGCATATTCATCATTTCGTATTAAATGAGAGGAATCGCGAGGAAAGAACATGTTTGTAAGTACGTATTATTATAATGCTACGTTTTGATTAAAATAATTACCTATTTGCGTCACTGATTGACGCTAACTCAAGCCCTAAACGCAATTAACGTACAAATGTGATATACCGTCTTTCGTGGCATTTCATTCGATTCCCTGCCTTTCCTCGCATTGATTTGACAAAAAGTATTAAATCTAAAAAACGCAGGTTTTACCGTATATGTATACGGTATTTTTGAAACGTTTATCTGATCTATAAGGGAATAAACCTAGAATATTTAAATGTCCCTCTTTCCGGAAAACTCCGTCTCAAGTATGGAAGGGTAAACTTTTGAAATTACATAATATATGCTTACTAAATAGAAAGTTGTGGCATACATGTTTAATATTAATTTTTTCTTGCGTCTCGAATATGTATACCTTGAATGTAATTCTAAAGGTGTTAATATCATGATACTGATGCAATTGCTTCCCGGTGAATCACATCAGGGAATTTAGCCGATTTGATTGATTCGAAAATGTCTCTCTTCAGAAATCGTATTCAACTGATTATCGCCCCATTGCAATACTTGTACTAGTCGTTCTATTATTTCATTCTTCGACGATTTTAAATTGTAATTGAATTCAAACTTCATGTTTAAATATATTGGATTAATTACGTTTCAAAACTTCTGTATACAAATACAGTAAAACCCGAGGACAAGGAACGGTGGCCAAAATTGTTTCTTGTCGACAGATATTTGCCACAGAGAGGCTGCATGTTTTAGGCCATCCCCAAACACTATTGATGTGTCGTAAGACGATGCTTACAACAGATATTTAAGTTTCTTCCAATTTGCGCCATTTTCGAATTCAACGGACGGCTGATGGATTAACATACTAATTTATGTCAAACTCACTAAAATATGCATGGAATATTGGGTAATATTCATATTAAAATGAATTGATCATGAAATAGTAGTCAAACCACCAGCCGAACACCGTGATATTTTAGTAATGGCTACACTATTTGAAATATAACTGAGAAGTCCATACTAGTCCTCTGTATAAACCCCAAATCCAATTCCTCCTAGTAATTAACATAGGCCTATTTTTATTCCACAATTTTTTTAATGATAGAAAATGAAAACAATACTTGTAATCGTATTGACAGCTGAAATATATAAAAATCGAAATGATGGGAAAAATGTATGGGCATGTGTACGGAATTATCACATTCATCTGGTTTTATTTTCCCGAGAATTTTGAACTAGTCTCTTTCTGTGCTGAATTGTTAAAATTAACATTAAAAATTAGATTTTTGAGTTTGATCAATAGTTTATATCAAAAGAATAAAAATATTAATCATAATAAGTGGGTGGGGCAGATGAGTACTGCGCACGCGCAACGAAGCATTTTAAGTGCAGCGTAACACCAAATAATTGCTTCGTTAGGGTTGGATAAAGCCAGTGTGGACACAATTTTTTCGCTAACCTTCGTTACAAAAATGCTTCGTTAGACTCAACCCAGCAGTGTAACAGGTACCAATGAGATGTTGATGTATTTGGTCATTTTAATTCTTTTATAAAAAATAATGTTTAATTTTTTTGTCCGCTGTGACGGAGCAGTTGCAAATGTGAACTGTGAAAATGCTCCGTCACAGCGGACAAAAAATATTAATATTAATTTTTATAAAAAAAATTAAAAAGACCCAATGCATTAATCTCTCATTAATACATTCAGAGTTATGCTGAAAACATATGTTAATATTATCGTGTCACTATATAATGCCATTAAAAAGTTAAAAAAGAAATGGTACATTTTAGAGTTTGATACTCTGGCGCCGTTTTCAATAGATTTTACTCCTAGCGTTATTGGACTTCAAACAGAAGTGAAGGTTACACGCAAATGATATATCCATTGCATGGAGTAAGTAATTATCTTTGATATAACGAAACTTATGAGTTAAAAAATAAATCGTGAAGCATTCTTAGTGTTTTTATGAAAAATAGCATGCTCCGTCACAGCGAACAAATCTTTCGATACCAGCCTGTGAAATATGGACAAAATTGAGTATTTATAAAATTTGCAATCCATTCACAGTACATGCATAAATGTGGAATATTTTAGTTTTGCTCATTTTTTGATTGGAAATTCAAAAATGCACTTACATATTAGAAACAAACATAAAATTGATTTCAATCAACATGAAAAGGTATTAAATTCACTATACATGAAGAGGATTGTAACTTACCCTGGGCAGCAACTGTGCAGTTCAATGCATATCCATTGACCAAGATACTCTCTCTGGAACTTTTCCCATGCGCCTTGAGTACATTCACTGCCTTAATGGGATACCTGTAACCTCCCTTGCCATCAGCCATTTTGATAGCATTTGCTGCATCGACCACCATGGCTGAAAAGAACTCCGAGTCTCTGTGTGTATGTTAAGGAATAATTTGTGAAGCTCAATCTTTTTAAGGCAAATGATAATTCAATTTCTTCTTGGCTGTTTAACTTGTGTGGTATTGACTTTCTATTTAACATTAAATTTTTCTACGAGTAACTTTCAAGAAAAATAGCACAATTTTGTGAATACACATGGTGAAACAGCATATTTCTACAGTCAGGTATTAATGAAAGACTTAGAAATGGGATAAAGTACCGAATTAATGAACCCAAAAATTCATACTCAATAGTTTTGTTAGTATGAATTTTGCGATCATGATCAATCATGATCATGCAAGAGTTAAAAATAAAATATATATAAAAAAATTCTAGAAATTAATCAAAACTGATTTTATGAATTTTGATGTATATAATGAGAATTAGTTTTTCCATTCAAGAAAGGATACGCTCCAATAATTTTGCTGGACATGCTAGTTTTGGCACAATTGATAATGCAGTTCTTGTCTAGATCATCTGTGCTGATTGTAAGATGCTCTTGGATGTACTTTACTGCCTCCCTGCAAAACAAAACAAAAATATCATATCATACAAATTCCATTTAAAACATTAATCGATGTAAGCGATTCAGGACAAGACAAGCATTCAATTAATATTGTGATTCTATTCATTTTATCACAAATACATGCAACTTCAAGCAAGATTTAAATATCACACATTTTCCTTACTTGCAAGCTAATCTGAAGCCACTGATTACTGATGTTGGATGTATTTTACACTTTACTAATTCATCTGCATTCTTCAACAACTCGGCTGCAATGATAACCTACAAAGATAAAATAAAAGAAAGATGATGAGAGAATATTCTACAAAATCAACTTTCAGAGTGAACAATACCTACCTGAAGTTATATATTTAGTAGTTTAATAAGTGCCTGTTAATGAAAATCTGAATTGATAATAATATGTCAATTTTCTTACCACTGAAGTGGTACCATCTCCAACCTCCTGGTCCTGGAGATCTGCAAGCTCAACTAGAACTTTGGCAGCTGCATGTTCAACTTCTAACAATTTCAATATTGTAGCTCCATCATTTGTGATAGTCACATCTCCAACGTCATCTACCAGCATTTTGTCGAGACCAACTGGTCCTAAACTAGTTTTCACAATGTTTGAAATAGATGATGCTGCCATAACTGCAATAATGAAAAGAAATTAAATTACTGCATGTCGTATGCATCATTTAATAGGTCATACTCATAGCCATCATTTTTTTTATTAAGAGATTATTCAAATGTGTGTGAAAAGTGACTCAGGGAATACCCCTGTTGACTCTTCCTACCTCTATTGATTTTTTACACAACAAGAACATTTTTCAATGGCAAAAAGACGCAGCTTTCTCAAATTGCTATTATACACTTCAACCTTGTTGCATACTCTCAAACACTTATGTACGGCCCTTGAAAATTCTCTTCTTTTTAATACCGGAAATTCTCACTTCAGCAAATCCAGGTGTCATTTATTTGTGATGAGCAAAGTAATCTACATTTTGTGTATTTTGCGCGCATCCACTGAAGTATGAATCTGAAATGTCTACAGTCTGTTACACTGCTTCAAAGGCAAGCAGTTGAACCTGAAAATTAAGAAATCTATAGACCATTGTGCCAAAACATATAGAAAAATATATTCATATTGCACACGAATGACATTTGTATATTTCAGATTATTCAGTGTTTACTGCAACACGATGAGCAACCATACCGCACCGGGGATCGACCCCGGTGCGTTACACTTTTCCCCGGAGCGTTGGTAACGCACCGTCCTTTTAAAATGGCGGACGGAAATGTGTTTCCTCCGGAGGGAACAAATAATAGTGGAAACCAGAGGTGAGTGAATATCTTTTAACACATTCCATTCTAAACACGATATATCAGGGTACCTTATCAAAATTCCACAAAGCTGTAACATATCGGTATTATGTGAACGAAATGTAAATGCACCTTGAAAAATTCGAAGGAAAGTTAAAGGCTCGTCTAAAATGTTGTATTTCTTGTCAAAGAAATGATTGGAACAACCACAGATTTTTTTACTCAATATAGATATATTTATAAACATACTACTCTTCAATATCTTACAATCGAACATTGTATAAGCGTCATTTATTTTCATGAAATGTACCTTCCAAAATTGATGGGGTAACGCACCGACACAAATCTACGACAATTTAGAAACGCACCGGTTATATTTTTACAGGAAACGACGGAGAAGTTCTGGACTGCAAACTGGGCATTCAAGATACAAGAAACGCCTGAAAATTGCACCTACCGTCACTACAAGCGACGCTGGTTGTACAAAAGCCACAACTAACGATAAATCACTTAAGACACCAATCAATGCTAATACAAAGGCTATCAGAAGTGCTAGGAAAAATGCACCAAAGAAAAGAAAAAAGCCAAAAATTAGAAAAACATTGTTTGAACAATCACACACTGATTATGACATTGAAATTGAAAGTGCTATGAAACTACTACCAAATGTCATATTGTGTCTCAGAAGACACAGTTTTTGCACCGAATTCATTATGCTACTAAGACTCCTCACGAAAGACAAATTCCCAATGAATAACATATCGTGGCTTCTTTTCCTGGAGGTTGTGAGGTGGTATTCCCTTAGTTCCACCTCAAACATGACGTACAGGTATGGTTGTTAGCTTTAGAAGCAAACACTCACCCTGGAAGTACATTTCACATAACAAGGTATTTCATAATGACCGTCCCCTGTCAGTCACCAATCCTAGATGGCGCACCTCCATGTGTTATAATATCATAGGAAAGCTCAATCAATTCATGACTTATTAAAACAACTTTGATTAAGCTCAGCAGCTTTTACGCTGTTTTTTGAGCTCTTAATGATACGAATAATAATGTTATTATTTGTCCCTCTCTTTAAACCCAATGTACAAATAGAAGCCATAAATCCAGCAAATTAGGATGATAGTGACGACAAAACATAAATCCACAAATTATGGTCCCAAGGATCACTCGTTCCAAAAAGCTGTATGATGATGTATAGATTAAGAGAATCTAAAGGCCCATGTGATTTAGGATTGGTTTTGGATGGGAGAGGGTAATTATGAAACACCCTATACAATACACAAATGCATAAAAAATCAAAGTACGAAATGTGATAGTTTGCAAAATACGGTAATACATACTACAGGCGATAAAGATATGACACTTTCACTGGTCAGAATCAAGATGCGGTAACGACCGTTACCTTCTTATCTAAGATGGCGGACGAAAAATGTCGATTTCGATATTTTTTGTTTTCATCAAATTAAACTACGTATAATTGACGCAATGCTTTGATATTTGAACTTGATAAGCCTTATATATCATGTATAATCCTTATATAAGCCTTATATACACGGGCGCCATAATTCAATTATATGTTACACCGCTTAAGGGAAGGTAACTGAGAGTTTGATTTTGCAAAATTCACTTCCATTTACCTTCCCTTAAGCGGTGTAACATACAGTTGAATTATGGCGTCCACGTATGATTTAAGAATAAATGGTCACACTTCTAAGTTTCCATGATATCTTAGATTTATCAAGTTCAAATATCAAAGCATTACGTCAACTATAAAGTAGTTTAATTCGATGAAAACAAAATATATCGAAATCGACATTTACCATCCGCCATCTTAGATGAGAAGGTAACGGCTGTTACCACATCTTGATACTGACCAGTGACTTTGATAACATTTCGTGTGTATCCGTTCTTATACCCTGCAGCAAATGTTATAAAATTATTTCACAATTATCAACGTAAAAACTAAACCGTACATTTCCAAATGAATAAAATATTGTATACTTTGAACATCAGTACCAATCGATTGAAAGCGTTATTGTTTCGTAGGGTAGAACTACACTCAATGCATTTGTGAATGGGTGTGTCAAAAAATCCGTTTTGCCCCTAGTTCCATAGATATACCCTTTCCCATTCTCATTTTAATATTTATAGATTTGAATATATCGTTTCTAACGATTGTACCATAACAATTATATGTATACTTTAATACTTAGCGAGGAAACTCTAACCTTCTGGAAAGTTGGCTACCGGATGTTCCATGGGAAATTCGATCTTGCGCTTCATGGGTGGAACAAAGTCAGTTGGTGCATTAGTGGAATCGAAAGAACAAGCGAGGCAGTACGATCCTCAGCATGAGGATCACACTATCAATAAAGCACCGGTGCGTTTCCAAATATTGGCCTAATATGACCGGTGCGTTACAACTAGATTTAGTGATATCTCATAAAACTGACCACGATTTAACTCCTAAACTGACACAATTTTGCATGCAACCATAAGGATCATGTTGATAAGATATATTCTCGCACAATCTAGGAATCTTCTGTATATTTCATAATGAAGGACCCACGGTCCTGTGCTCACACAGTTTGGAACCTTCAGAGGAATGTATATACTGACTTTCAAACAAAAATATTGATTTGGATTTGTAGTCTCAAACTTTGAGAAACTTAGATAGCACAGTTGTGTGACCTAGTTTGATGACCTTTGACCTTGAAAATTTTACTAATTCAGAGCTCAGTAAGGTCTTTTGTGATTAAGCTGACCTAAATTTACATCCAAAAATCAATTTGAAAAATCAACTATTTTGACCTTTCGAAGGTCACTGAAGGTCAAGTAAAGGTCAAATCCTAAAACGAATGTCAGATTTGAACTCCTGGCAACTTGTAGATGATTTTCAAAAAAAATTGGTCAAATTGAAGCAAGTTGAAAAATAACTTATTTTTACTGTTTTTTTACGTCAAACATCTCAAAAACTGTAAAAATTTGATGCTGACATATATTGAGCAATATGTAGGGAATGCTTAAATCTAGTAATGATGTAATTCATTGCAAGAAATGATCAAGTATAAGGCAAACTTTGAGAAACTTGTCAATCACAAAACCTGCCATTGACTTTATACATGAGAAAGTTTCCTGAAAAAAGTCCTACTTTTTGTCAAATTTTATAGAGTAAAATCAAAAAACTGTAATTCCAAGAGCTTTGAAATCTTCAGAGGACATAAGTTGCATATACAGCAACTACTAAAAGTTATTTGAAAGTTCTACTTCAACAAAGAGTCTAGTATTTACAGAAAATTTGACTTTTTGACGTCAAAATCCGCAATTTCTCGGAAACCGGGCGAACTTGGGAAATGGCGATGATAGGTCAAATAGGCATTATGGATATGCATAAAATGAATGTGGATATGACTCAATCCGAATAGCAGTTTTAATTTGTGCGGCCAATGTTGACGGACGGACGGACGGACCAACGGACGGACGGACCAACGGACGGACGGACCAACGGACGGACGGACGGACGGACCAACGGACGGACGGACACCTGGTCGATCCCATAGGCTCACTGTGTGAGCCAAAAAGAATAAAAAACATCAAAATATTTTAATGTTGCTTGTGCTTTTACATCTTGTTTGCATTATATAGGCTAGTTATCACTGATCTAATCGATCTGGATCATTCCTTAATATATTGTACTTTGAATGGTACATAGGAGTTCTGCGTACCTAATCACGAAACATCGTAAATCAAAAATTTCTACTCACGTCCATTATGCATTTATCATTGTCCGCCATTTTTCTTCACTCCGGAGCGTTACAATTTAAGTGTAACGCACCGGGGTCGATCCCCGGTGCGGTATGGTTGCTCACCGTGTGCAATAAGCCTGTGCCCTCTTGTAATTTGAGGTCCGTCTGCCATGTTATTTTTTGAGAATTAACATGTTCGAGAAGCATCAAAATATAAGAGGTTACAGAGTTTATGAGCCAATTTACAAGCAAACCAACATATACAAATGTCATTCGTGTGCAATATGAATATATTTTTCTATATATTATTGCATAATATTATTTAGATTTCTTATATTTCAGGTTTAACTGCTTGCCATTGAAGCAGTGTAACAGACTGTAGATCCATGCCAGACAAGTTTGGTTAGGGAAATCCTCACTTCAGCAAATCCATAATCAATTATTTATTGCACAAACTGTATGTGCGCAAAACAAACAAGTGGGGAGATGAGGTTGGTGCTAGATAATTTTGTAGGAATTACCAGAGTGGTACTGACGGAATATTGACTTGTTAACCCAATTCCACATGCTATCTATTGCAAGACTTACGCCTGCCACAACCGTCACCATGTTAATCAGTGTTTTTTAAGTAGCGCAAGGATCCTGCCATGACCGTGGTAGTGTTATCGTGTAAGTCTGGTATAACCGTGACAGGCTGGTATAACTGTGACAATGCTGTATTCTATTACAAGGCCTGTCATGACCCTGGAAGTGTTATCGTGGAAGCCAGGCGCGACCGTAGCCTTTATTGTGGTTTATAAGCGAATGTGAATATTAATGTATAGTAGTAATTTTGATTTTGACATGATTAAGGTAGTTAAACACCATGATCATAGTATTAACTGTTTAATTGTATTGAGGATCACTTAAAATTGTTAAGGATATTCCTGGCATTAATGTCATACATATTTACTAGTCATTGCAATACATTATAACGGTCATAGTAGAACTAAGCCTAAATCTCTACATTACCACACTCATACCTGGCCTTGCAATACTATATTACATTGTCACGGTCATACCAGGCTTTGCGATCCCATAATACATTGTCATGGTCATGCCAGGTTTTCAAATACACATTGTCACGGTCAATTATAGCAATCATAAATTTCTACATTACCACTCTCATACCCGAACTTGGAATACTATATCACATTGCCATGGCGGTCATACCAAGCCTTGCAATACTATATTACATTGCCATGGTCATGCCAGGCTTTGCAATACACATTGTCACGGTTATAGCAGTCCTAATCTAAATTTCTACATTACCACTCTCATACCTGAACTTGCAATACTATATTACATTGTCACGGTCATGCCAGGCCTTGCAGTACTATATTACATTGTTACGGTCATACCAAGCCTTGCAGAACTATATTACATTGTCACGGTCATGGCAGGCATTGCAATATAATACAGCATTGTCGCGGTTATACCAGGCTTTCACGATAACATTACCACGGTCATGGCAGGTTATCCCGTTCCCGGACTATAGTCCTGCACTGATCGCATTCATTTGCCTGTACGATTACAACTTGGGAGAATTATCTATGCCCCTTACACTTAAGATACCTACCTCAATGCATTATAGAACTCAAGATGTAACTTCTAATATATTGGAACCGCCGATTGTCTGGGTATATCGGCAGAACGAGAACATTTTCTCTTTTTCATCGAGAGAGATTCCATCACTTTTCAAAATGGCGGTTGGATTTAAACGGGGAATCCCCCGTTTGGCTGTCCCGGATGTAGCCCGGAAGTACCAATATGGAGGAATTTGACGGTTGAAAAAGGTTAAATGTTACACGCAAATATTGCGATCAAAAACGAAAATGTCTTCGTTCTGCCGATAAACCCAGACAATTGTGGATTCAACTACAATTGTGGATTCAACTACACGAAAAGAATGCTAAATTACCAAGGAATCTATTGAAGTAGGTAGGGCGAAGGGGTGTAATGTCGACGTGTGGGGTAATGTCGACATAATAGACGGGGTAACTTCGACACTTACATATTAGAAGTAGAATTTCCGTTTTCCGCCATGTTTGATTTCTGGAAAAATTAAAATCTCGCGAGATCTCGATCCATGCGAGAACAAAAACATGGCTTCCCCCTAGATCGGAAATTAGAGCAAATAAACAACAAGGTGTCGAAGTTACCCCACATGTCGAAGTTACCCCAAAACGGTGTCGACGTTACACCCCTTCGCCCTATCTGAAGTGTAAGATCAGTAAAAAATTCTCCCATGTTGTAATCGCACAGGCAAAAGATTGAGATGTTCACAGGACCATAGTCCGGGAACGGGATAAATGGCAGGATCCTTGCGCTACTTAAAAAACACTGAATAACATGGTGACGGTTACGCCAGGCGTTAGTCTTGCAACAGATAGGGTCTCCCCAATTCTTATGTCAACTGAATGTCAATCACAAACATAAAACCAGGCATAAACTTGCAAACTGAATCAAGAGAAATCATAAAAATCCATCATTATAATTCAAATAATTTTTGAGTAGGCGTCTATACAAAGATATGGCCGAATATATTTAAATACGAGTTGATTTAAATGGGAATATTCCAGAACCTCGAACATAGGACATGTGGTTTTGAAAACTGACAGCTCTTGGAAACCAGTTCAACATCAAAATTTCACCACTAATTGCAAGTGAATAAGTATAAAATTTGGTGGGTGATTGCACTTGTGTATAGACATTTGAAAACTAGAATCTTTTACTTACCATTTTGCGTCCTTATAGTCTGGCCAGTGGTTCTTTCACCACCAACACTCAGCGCGGTCATGGTAGACGCCATTTTGATAACTTTTAATTCGGTTCATTCGGTAGTTTCCGGACGTTAAAAAATCATTATTCACATGGAAATTTCAAATACAACAATCATTCTATGATAGAACACGATTATTCCATTTTATTTCATTTATTTGAAATTCACTTATCATAGTTTTATTGGAAAAATTAAATGAAGGATGGTTTCCCATCATTCAAATTCAAAATGGCGCTGTAAACAAAAATCAAATTTTTTATTTTTTCACATCTTTCTTAGTTTTTGCGAAAGCCTGCAAAGTATAGTAAAAATAAAGGCAAACTAAGTCCGAAGCAATGTCGAATGCAGCCAAAAATCGTCTAAAAAGTACTTGGACACCCCTGAATAATGATGAGACTAACAGCAAGGTACTTTTTTTGACAGGGTGTGAGGGAGGCCCAACCATTATGATTATGATACACTGCATGGTTATATCTAATTCAACAAGATCCAACTCTCCCGCATTGTGCATTGGTCATACATTTGCTGAAGAAATTGAAGTCAACCCCTTTTTATTGTGTGACAAAATATGTCACGCAAATACTTATTTTTTCTGATTATTGTGAATGTCAAGTCAAGCAAAAATATTTCAGGAGAACATCAAAAAACAAACGCTGAGAAATAGCAAGACTGTATAATGTTTTAGCTCAATGTATCTAAAACCTGCATTCAATTCTGATGACCAAATCTATGCAAACGATGTTCTCTCTTTATGTACAAATGACGTTTCTCTCTTTATGTACAGAAACGTCTAGTAGAATTACGGCAAACACGAAAATGATGCTTTTGTAAATGCATAATAAAGCATCTATAATTTTAACATTATTATTTTTTGAACGTTCTAAAGTATCAGTAAATGTACAAGCGAATGAGTCGCTTTTCTGTTCAAGAAGACATATTAACCCCCCTCGGTTCAATCCCCCTGTCTGTTCACTTTTAATTAGTTTAGATTATTTTTTTATATAATGTATGGTAACATATATTTTTACAAAACCAGCAATGACATTAGTTTTGTGATAAAAATGTCACTTACAAGTATTTTTAAGAAGTCGTGTAGAACCCTGTTGCTTGATGTATAGCAAAAACATTGGCAATTGCACAATGGTGACGCTGACCTTTTAAAATCTTATATCTTAGAAGCCTAACAGTTCAAAATAATCATAGAAGACCTTACATAATTCCCTGTGTACTGCGCCTATTCATTTTGCAATGCAATTGTAAACTTTTTCTTAAAAAATATAAATCTTCAAGATTTGTTGAATTTTCTATCAAAAATGGGCTGATCCCCTCTCCATTCATTTTGTCCGATCACTGGGCGTAACCATTATCAGTAATTTCTAGAAATGATGGCCCTGAATCAAGGTGACAGCCAAACAGTTCACCCATCCAAAACATATTAACACTTATATATTATTTACAGACACTTACTATACATGTATAAGGAAAAAAATTACTATCAGAGAGAGATAGAGAGAGAGAGGATAAGAACACCATGAAGAACATATCATGCATATGAATCAGTAAAAGTAACAAGTACCAACAGGGGCAGCAGTTTGCTGGATTGGATACCTATTTTCTAGAAGATATCTTTGTGGCTGTAATTGTACTTTATGGCACTTTTAATTATGTAATTATGTGCATAAAAAATAAAAATGTCTCAAATGTTTTTGCAAGATTATTAGATAAAGGGCAGTTTTAGTTATTACTTTACAAATGCTTCATCTCTTTTCAGATATTTGAAGAAAGAAGACTCCTTGTTGGAAAATGGGTAAGTTATTAGTAGTGAGTCAATTTTAAGGACAGCCATGACCATTTAATGGGATTTGCCACGCCCTGGCATTGCTGTTGATTAGTTAGACATATTGTAAGGCTATTTGTGATGGCAAATTAAATTTACAATGCTTATATAGCAACCTACTTAGGTCTCCTTACAATGCTTACATAGCACCCTACTTAGATCTCCTTACAATACTTACATAGTACCCTACTTAGATCTCCTTACAATGTTTACATAGCATCCTAATTAGGTCTCCTTACAATGGTTACATAGCACCTTACTTAGGTTTCCTTACAAGGCTTACATAGCACCCTACTTAGGTCTCCTTACAAGGCTTACATAGCATCCTACTTAGGTCTCCTTACAATGCTTACATAGCACCCTTAGGTCTCCTTTCAATGCTTACATAGCACCCTACTTAGGTCTCCTTTCAATGCTTACATAGCACCCTACTTAGGTCTCCTTACAAGGCTTACATAGCAACCTACTTAGGTCTCCTTACAATGCTTACATAGCACCCTACTTAGATCTCCTTACAATACTTACATAGCACCCTACTTAGGTCTCCTTACAATGTTTACATAGCATCCTAATTAGGTCTCCTTACAATGGTTACATAGCACCTTACCTAGGTCTCCTTACAAGGCTTACGTAGCACCCTACTTTGGTCTCCTTACAAGGCTTACATAGCACCTTACTTGGGTCTACTTACAAGACTTACATAGCACCCTACTGAGGTCTCCTTACAAGTTACAATGCTTGCATAGCACTGTAACTTACTAAGGTCTCCTTACAATGCTTAATTAGCACCCTACTTAGGTCTCCATACAATGCTTACATAGCACCCTACTTCACTGTACACACAGTGTACTTAGGTCTCCTTACAATGCTTACATAGCACCCTACTTAGGTCTCCAATCCCCATAATATGCTTACATAGCACCCTACTCAGGTCGCATTACAATGGTATCATAGCACCCAACTTAGTTCTCCTTACAAGGCTTACATAGCACCCTACTTAAGGTCTCCAATCCCATAAAATGCTTACATAGCACCCTACTCAGGTCTCATTACAATGGTTTCATAGCACCTTACTACTGTACTACAATGGTATCATAGCACCCAACTTAGTTCTCCTTACAAGGCTTACATAGCACCCTACTTAAGGTCTCCAATCCCATAAAATGCTTACATAGCACCCTACTCAGGTCTCATTACAATGGTTTCATAGCACCTTACTACTGTACTAAGGTCTCCTTACAATGCTTACATAGCACCTTACTTAGGTCTACTAACAAGACTTACTTTGCACCCTACTTAGGTCTCATTACAATGCTTACATAGCACCCTTAGGTCTCCTTGCAATGGTTACATAGCACTTTACTTAGGTGTCCTTACAATGCTTACATAGCACCTTATTAAGGTCTCCTTACAAGGCTTACATAGCAACCTACTTAGGTCTACTTGTGAACCTTGTCCAATATAAAACGTGTACACATAGTAAGGGACCAGATCATTAATATTCCAATGTTGTCCATATACATAAATAGTAAGATTTTTAGTTTTTTATTTCATTTTTTGACATTGGCTGTGTCTTGAGACATATCATATATCATACAAAACAATTGAATTCTGTTATTTTGCTTTGCAGTTTGATAAATGGAACAGTGATCAGCGTAAGAAAGTACTAGCTGATTTGCTGTCTAAATCAAAGATCAAACAGATGGAATTTGCTTCTGATTTAATTAGCAAGAAGGTTCCAGTTTATCATGAAGACTTTACAAAGACTCTACCGAGGGTCATCAGTCTCTACATCTTCTCATTTCTCGATCCTAGAAGTTTATGTCGCTGTGCAAGAGTAAGGAAACTTACATTTATTGCCAATTATTTATTTTTGTTATATTCTTTATAAAGTGTCTTTACAATACAACAAAGTCTGTGTAATGTGTAAAAAGATTTTATGGACACACTGTATTTCCGAATGTATTGTTAAGGTTTTAAGATGTTAACATCCTTTAGTTTTTCTTCAGGTTATGCATTTAAAATTCATATTTCATCAATTTCATATGAGATCATGAAAAGATTCTAGAATCTGGCAATATTTGATCATTTTCTAAAGGTGTGCTGGTACTGGAAACTCATATCAGAGGTAGACCAGTTATGGATGATTAAGTGTATCCGCCTTGGGTGGCAGCTACCCTTTGTTCCTAGTCCTTATGAAGTTGGTGTGTGGAAGAGACTCTACATTGAAAACATAGTAAGCCTGCAATACCTCAGACCAAAGGTATGTCAATATTTGTTAATTGTGTTATTTGCACCTTTAGAGTAAGGTGACCTATTTCAAGCTTTGATTTTTATGTCACCACCAAGAACTGGTGATATATTATTGTTCTAGCCACCTATTCAAATCAATTTCTTTTGTGACAAGAATTTGTTGTTGCTGTTTGACATCCATAACAAATTGTTACACTTTTGTAATCATTTGCAATGACTTACTAGGTGGTGACATTTTGTCAGGTTAATCCCTTGTATTAATGTCTTGAATGAATTACACATCTTTCCTATAACTGTAGTTAGATTTGAAATATTCATTTGATATGTGAATGTTGTCTAAGGTAGGTCTAGTACAATGTCTAGTACAAGCATGGTAAACTGATCATTACTTGATATAAAGGCTTAAATATGTCATGTAGGTCACAAAAATCACTCCAATAGACCTACCTTAAGCTGTTCTTTTGCTGTGTTCACTGTGTGGTTTTTGAAACTTTCTTATCTATGTCAGTGATATTTGAAAATTATGATACAGCCAACTTCAGCTATATTCTTTATGTTGTGTGCATGTCTCCACATATATTGCATCTTTCCCTGTGCCTTTTAACAGCCCCAGTACAAACCTATTCCGAAGCCAAGAAGTAGCAAAAATAGTCCAAGAAATGATTCAACACAATCATCTCCCAAAAGAGGAATCTTTGGGGCAATTTCTCCAATAGAATCTCAGAGGAACCAGGTATTGTCATGGTGCTGGGTAATTGCATGCACTGAAAGTGAAATTATTATATCATACTAATTTTTTAGTCTGTTTTCTCTGTTAACATGTTTATTTCAGTATTATTTGTTATATTATAAGAGATTGGAACTCTTGGGTCAGTTGGTGTTTTTAGAATAACTTATTCATTAGTTGCTGTTCTTCATGTTTTGCACTCAATAACCCAGATGCGAGTAGGTAGTTACCAGTTTCACCACCAGGTAGCTAATTCGGGGTAGATAGCATGGCAAATATAGTAGAAAGTTCCCATGAACTTGAATTTTCATCAGTTTTCAGTGGTTCAATTTTCATATTACCCTTCTGTATCTGATAGTTATACAAATTAAAATATGTCCAGTAAAAGAAAATATTATCCGTCCAATGCAAGGAAAAATATTTCACTTTTGTGATTTTATAACATGGTGTCTGTGGAGAATCTCCCTGACCTTGAAGTCGCATTTGTATGTAGATTTCAAGTATGATATCACTTTGACTGAATTTGGAGGTGGAGGTGGTTTAATAGTAAATGAAATGGAATTCAGGATTTAGTTTATTAAGTACTGTATATGGTGCCTGGAGACTCCTTCTGCTTTCTCATTTCATTCATTCACAATTGAATTTTGAAGACTGTTTTTATTCAAAAGTCAATATATTTATTTTTATTTAATATGTTATTTGTTTATAATTTCTCCTTTAGTTTATTCACTTCAGCATTTTAAAGGAACTGTGTAAACCAATGTGTAGTATCTTGATTTCCAAATAAGAGACTTAAAGGATGTATACCTTTCATTGAAGTGTATAATATTGATAAAACTTTGAATGTAAATTCATATAAGTATGACACATTATCTTCTGGTAAATCATCTCGTATGATATTCATTTTGAGAAATGATTTCTCAGAAATGATTTCCATGGCTATTGCAGCACTGATATGGTATACCCCCCTGTTAGTATTATAATTTTGACTTAACAATTGAATGTTATAGGCTCCCCCAGAACTTCCAATAGATGATCTGAACAAATTAGACTTAGATGATAGACCGGACAGTCATAGGAGTCGTAAACCGCCAACACCTAAGAGGAATACAAAGCCAAAAGAAAGATCTTGGAAAGGTCCAAGTCCAGTGCCTAAAGACATTTGGAGATATAACTACTTTGATAATGAGAATGAAGTTGATAAAATTAACCGATTGTAAGTTGGTATACATATGAAAGGTTAAGGTGTTTTCTCAGAAGTTAAGATTAAACTCTACATTACTGTTTGACCACCCTCTCACACGTCCTAGTCAAAGAAACTGACATTTTGGAGATAGAATTTCTTTTTGAATAAAGTTAAATTTTGAACTTCCTTCAACAACTTCCAGTTAAGTCTCAGTCACATTAGCTCTTACCAGCCGTACAGGGGCCGTAGCTTCACAAAATTGATATAGAAAATCTGATCATACTTCATATCCCTATATTTTATGCTGCATATATCTTTCAATTTTAGGAAGCCGCGGCTGCTGTATGGTTGACGTAGATCAAATGTGACTGAGGCATATTAGCCCCCCTTCAACTTTGACAATATAATATTCATTGCATGCTATTGATCTAAATCTATATTGAATTTGATTCAACCAGTGCCTTATTTTGATACAGGTACATTCGATCAATTGATCTCTTGGATCACAATATAATTAAAAGTATTGTTCATGTTTTCTAGGAGGAGGAGAGGAGACCATGGTCCTGAATCTGATGAAATGATAAGACAAGCTAGAAATAAAGTCAAAACTGGAAAAGCAAAGAGATCTAGTTCACTCTCTGTAAGTCAGAACTAAATGTATTTAAGAGTAAATAAATGTAAATAAATGTATTTAAGTAAGAGTATTAAGTCTAGCTCATCATGTTTATGTCATGATGTGTCTATTTATTCCGCATCAAATACTTTGAAGACTTGTAAAGTAGTGTTTTCTATCTTTGGACCAAAGTTTAAGAAAATTGTTCACCATCAATTTTAAGATTTTTTCAGAAAAGTAGGACTTGAAATTACTCTGTTGCTTTTCATATAATCTTGGAGTGTACAGCCACAAATAGTTTGCTCTATTAAATACCACTATAAAATATCATAATATAGAATATCACATATATCTGAGGTGATATGTGCAGAACATCTACTGTTCTATTTCAGCGACTAGCCACTAAAAAGTTTGTAGATTCCAGTCCCCTACCCGGAGACATGAGACCTGATTGGGCCAAACAACCTGATGGCATGGCCTTCATGAATGGTACCTACAGTGGGGCAGGGGAGGGGCCAGTCCTAGATGCCTCTATCAGACCTCAACCTGTCAGGCCACCTAGGAAAAGATCTCCAGATAGAACCAATAGAGATCCACCAAGTATGTACTATGTTGAAGAAACCATATGCAGATTTAGAAAACATAATTTTATGCATATTTTCTCATATTATATTATTATTGCCTGTAAGATATGAACTGCTGCTTATTTGAAATATTTAAATGTGGAATTAAAAGTTTTGTTGTTTATCCACTGCTGCATTGAGCAGTTTCTGCCTTTAAGTTTTATGTATCAAGTTTAACTAAACTAGTCACTGTATATTAATTGCAGCTACAGAGTTGTTCCCAGACCGTCCGTGGCAGGTGCCAAGACACAGAGAAGACTCAGACTCAGACACTTGAAAGTGATCCATTGGATACTTGATAGTGGATCATCAGTCACTTGATAGTGGATCATCGGATACTTGATAGTGGATCATCAGACACTTGATAGAGAATCATCAGAAACTCTATAGTGAATTATCAGACACTTGACAGTGGATCATCAGGCACTTGATAGTGGATCATCAGACACTTGATAGTGAATCATCAGATACTTGATAGAGGATTATCAGACACTTGACAGTGAATTATCAGACACTTGAAAGTGGATCATTGGACACTTGATAGTGATTATCAGACATTTGATAGTGGATCATCAGACACTTCATAATGGATCATCAGACACTTGACAGTGGATCATCGGACACTTGATAATGGATCATCAGTTACTTGATCATCAGACACTTGAAAGTGAATCATCATGCCTTAATAAGTTAATATATTTTGTTTCAAACTTATGTGATACTATTTAACTATTAACATTCCAAAATTATAAACTTAACAAATTCATCAGGGCAATTGCATGAATTGGCTGAGTTCAAAATTATTAAGAACTTAATATGTATTTTTATAAAACAACATTCCATTCCATTTTCCATATGTGTACTGTATATTGGTTTGTAATATGCATTGAAAATATGTAAAGGTCTTCTGGTTTCAACGTTCCTTAATAAAGTTGGCAATGTCTAATGATAAGCATGGTGCTATTTTCATTGAAGGGAATATATTAAACTGTGATAGAAGCTTTTTGTAACAGGGTATTTACTTATCATGTTTATGTGTGGGGAAATTGGAATTACATAAATTATATGCACTTGGATCATACATTATCTTAATCTTAAAAGTCTTGCATCAAGCCTTTGTAACCCCCCCCCCTTATCATACACATTTCCCCCCCAGGGGGGGGGACTAGGAAAGGGGAGAACCTTCATGCTTCATGCAAGACTACGCACATGTCTTATACAATTAACCTAACATTAATCTAAAATTGTCTGATTCTATGTTCTCAATATTACCTCTTCCATAATGAAAATAATTCATATTCTCTCATGTGCTTACCCTACTGTGAATAACCCCTTGTCTGACTTGATGTGGACTGTTTAATATACATGTACATGAGAGAAATACACTTTAGATCTATGAATGAAGGAACGGGGCTTTATTGAATTATGATTTTTCTCATGTGCATGTAAATTGTGGTATGCAATAATTGGACATATGAATGGTAAAACCTATGAAATTAGGTGCACTGCTGGGACCATCTGAATACAGTACGATAGTTTATAGTTGATGTCAATAGATTTTAGTGTACAATGCAGTTAAACCTGTGTATAAGGAACACCTCAGGTACCAATAATTTGGTGCCCATTTTAATGTTATGATGTTGGTCCCACAAGTGTTCCACTTGGGAGTTGTAACTCTTACAGAGTTTATTTTACACTATATTAATGGGAAGCAGGAAGTGTTCCATTGTTACAGTATTACTCAACTTTGAATTGACATTTGGATAAAATAAACTCCAATTCAATTTGTTATTGGTTTAAGCATGTATTTATTGTATATAAATAAAATATATAATAATATAAAATACATGTACAACAACTGATGTATAAAAAATATGTTAATAATAAATGAAATAAATCATATTTTTTATTTAAATAAAGTTATTGCATTACACTGTATTATAAAGTATTCCCTGTGATAATAAGTTGTCAAAAGCCATGTGGATGCACATCTTTAAGTTGTTCCCTCCTCTAGACCAAGTGGAAAGTGGCAATCACGAAAGCAAGGTCATATGAATATTTGCATTTGAAAAATCAACTAAAATCTAAGAGAAGATTTGTTTCATTGAATATTCTATCTCCATTGTTTTGAGTGATTCTGCCTGATGAATTGATAGGTTAAAATATATCTGCCATATGAATAGGCCTACTTTTAGGCAAAAGTATAGATCAAATTAACATTTCATAAAAGAATGTTTTTATCAACAAATCATACCATTATGAACAAATAGTTTAGAACTATGACATTTGATTATTGTGCATATTGTACATAAACATGTACATATTGTAAATGTCTGACTTTATAATGTTATTATCTCACTAACTGTTTCTCATTCTGTGATTGTTTGAACCTAATGTGAGGGCCATCATTTTGTCAATTCACTTATTTGTGAAAAAATGAATTTATCCTTACTTCACAGTTTTTAATCGATTATCTTATTGCACATAAAACAACATGGAATAAAAGTATATTGTAGCCTGGGACTGAATCAACTTCATTCACATTCATCCTATAGTTTGGTTTCATTTGATCATGAACTTAAATTAAGTATTTTTAATGCATTATCGACAATTTATCGTTTATGTGCATTTATATTTTGTTCCACATTCTCTTCTATCCTACTGTAAAGTCTAATCCCTAAAGTTCGGGAAAATCACAATCTGAATCTGTATGTGCCACAAAATATTCCTTTACATATTTTGATTACTAAGTTGTTTTTATAATCCTCTTTATTCATTCCTTACTCCTTTGTAGCTCCCCACCATGTTTAAATATAGCATCTATGAACTGTCCATACATGCGATCCATGTAGCTAGTGTGACGTGGGAACAGGCCCTCCAAGAATCCAATATGGCCACCATGTGATGTCACAACAAGTGCAACATTCTCATTTTTCTCAGCTTCTTTTATTGGAATAGCTGAAATGTAATTTTTTACAGTTATTAAACACTAAGAATAGGAGAGGCTAAAGCATATCTGGTAACAGGTAACATTACATAGCCCATACTTTCTTGTACCTTGCAGTCATTTCAGCAACAAAGACATCAATTCACAAAGTACATACATAACAGCCTTACTTTTGTATGAGAATGTATTTTGTATAGAATGTATAGAATATAGGAATCCTTCTTTGTAGTCCAATTAGACAAAGTCTTTTATCAGATTAAACTAAGCTCAGTTGAGAATTTCTTTTCAAAAATAACATGAATGTCTATAGTTCTGTTTTTATGACATCAATGATTTTCGTGATTACAATAATGGATTTTCAAATCAAAATTCCCCTATTCCTAATTCAACGTTGCATTTAATACCTCAGAACAAATATGTCAAGATAATGAATGATATTCAATGAAACATTGAAGTCAGAGGACTACATGTCTATGTTCCTACCATGTAAAGGTGAGAAAGGGTCATCAGCAGCATTCAAGCAGAGCAATGGAATCTCAATCTTATCCACCTTATAATGAAGATTAGCATCATGGTAGTATTCCTCAGCATTCTCATAGCCAAATATCTTTGCTGTGAAGTGATCATCAAATTCATAAATAGTTTTACATTTGGCAACTTTCTTCATGTCAACATGGTTGTTGAATAGTGGGGTATACCTAAAAGTCAGTTACCAAAGTTTTTTTTACAAGAACAATTTATTGGTTTTGAAACAAATGATTGATTGAAGAACAACTACATTTACTACATGTATACTGTACATGTTTGAGACACTTATTCATGTATAATGGAAATTATGCAGATTATTTAATATGATTAATTCATGGAATTAAAGAATATACAAATATCTGTATTTAGCGTATGAAATGAGCAAATTATTCTATCCATTAACAGATTTATATCTATTTAAATTGAGATATCACTTATCAATGTTTACAGTTTGTCAACAAATGTACATGGGATGAGTACCAAAAAGAAAGGTATGTTTACTGAAATTGAGGTATTCAGAATTGAAAGGTTTTAAAGGAGGAGAGAGGTAGTTCATATGAGAAAGGATGTGTGAGAGAATACGAGAGAGAAATCTTCATTTTAGATGAATGTCCTTAACTGAGAAAAAGGGTGTTCATTTGAAAAGTAACTTTTAGAGATTAAGGTGTTCACTGTGTTTCCTTGGGACAGATTTTCCTCGCCAAAGAAGTGTGTCCGGTACTGTTCACTCAGTCAATTGTGTTCACAATTTAAAACAGTCAAAGTGTGATATAGTGCTCAATAATTGTTTTTAATAAATGAGTTCAATAGAGATTATATAAAGGGAGCGATAGTAAAGAGAAGTGATTAAGAGATACATATGTATGTTCACCAGAGATCAAAAATGAGAGATTGTTTTCTCTTTTTGATACTCATCACAGCATTAACAGATTAACAGAGCTTACTCAACAGCTGTCTGGCAGAGATGGTATGTAAGGTATCTATTTAGTAAGAACCAGTTAACTGGTTGTTCCAAACTTTTAGTTGACTCAAATGTATTGAATGCTGCAGATGCTACCATCGCAGCTTTGAGTTTGCATCCCAGCCCAACACTGGCAACATAGTTGAACAATATCATTCTGAAACATAGGTATAGTTTCTGTCTGATTAACTCCAAAGTTATTAGTGATTTAGAATAAAGTTCAGAACCACTCTTGAAATGAATTCTTTGGATGTACACCTGGAAGAATTTAATAGTTGGGAGTGCTCCATGGAGAGGAATATCCATCTGACAGTTTTCAAAGAGATGGGTGACAGGTATAAAAAAAATATGAGTGAAAGAGAATGCTACGAGGGTCTAGAGGTATGCTCAACCAGGGAAATGTTGACCTCATTTGGCAAATGAGTTTAAGAGTAAAGGAGATTACAGGGAGAAAGGGGATGAAAGAGAGGAGGACATATTCACCCCAGGAAAACCTTTGAAATCATGACCTTTATCTTTCTGGAGTAAAAAAATGTGAGCTCCTCAATGAAGGAAGGTTTTCTCTTATTGATACTCATCACAGCATGAACAGATAAGAGATATAGTATTAGCCATTATGCTTACTCAACAGCATACTCGCACAAGTAAGAAGTAAGGTATCTGTTAAGCAAGAACCAGTTAACTGGTTTTTCCAAAGTCTTAGTTGACTCAAATATATTGAATGCTGTACAAGCTACCATTGCAGCCTTCAGTTTACATCCAACTCCAGCACTGACTACATAGTTGAACAATATCATTCTGGAACATAGTAACTATTTACAGTTTCAAATCTACTCAAGGTGACTAAGAATCAAATTCAAATCCACTCTTAACAGGATCCTTGAAGCAAAATCTCCGGATGTACACCTGAAAGGGGCTTAAAAGAGAAGAGTGTTCCATGGGAAGGAATTTTATCATTTTAACTAAAAAGGAGTTTTAATGTTCCCCTAAGAGGGGTATTTATACTAGAAAGGGATTTCCTTAGAGATGACCAATATTAGTTATGACAGTTGTTTATTTCATGGAAATTCTTCCTAGAAATAAAAGTGATTCCAATCAAGAGAGGAACTAAGATGGAATTTCCAAAGAGGGGTGTCACCATGTGTGGGAGTTCCAGAGTATTCTAATTAGAAAAGAAATAACTCCTTTAAGATGTCCACTGCATAAAGAAAGTATTTTACAGAGATATCCAACCTGGAAGAGATTTTCACACATAGGAGTGTTGACCGTGTGGACATGAAACAGACAGAAAGGGGTTTTCATCAAAAGTGATGTCTGCTTGAAAACAGAGGTAAAACTACCTGTCAATAAACCAGAAACTGGGATAAGTGCTCATGTACATGTAATTAACAAAAGATTGTTTCACTTGAGAGTTGTTCCTTTTGCAGAGGTTTAATTCAAATGGGTTGTAGTACTTTAAAAAGTGTTCCACTTAACGAGGTGTTCCACCTTCAGAGATGTTCCACTTTACAGGTTTTACTGGACTACAGAGATGTGGTGAACAAGATATGGACTCACTGGAGACTTGTGTTCACGTATATAGAGGTATATAGAGGTTCTCTTTTTGGTACTCATCATGTACAGACAAGCTGACTTGCTATTATGCTTACTCAACAGCATATTCACACAAGTAGGTCGTAAGGTATCTGTCAAGCAAAAACCAGTTCACTGGTGTTGCTAAACTCTTAGCTGTATCAAATATATTGAATGCTGTACAAGCTACCATTGCTGCTTTCAGTTTACATCCAACTCCTGCACTGACTACATAGTTGAACAATATCATTCTGAAACATATCTCCTGCCAATGTAACTTTAAATATATCTTGAAAATCTTCTATTAGCACAATGTTAGGTTTCGACAAGCCCATGGTTTCGATTAGGTTTAATTGTGAATTTCAGTGTCTGAATCAATCATGTGTTGGTAGACATAATTTGGCAAATATGATTAAGGTAGTTCTGCATTTTCACAATAAACTGAAAAATGGGGTAATACTGTATCAGTATTAGCTCACAATATTTTGACTTTGAGCTGTATGTTATTTAAAAAGTAAATAGGCTACACATAAAAATATGAAATATATTTCCCAATTTCTAATTATTGGGAATTATAATCCTAAAATGAAAATTCTCATCAAGCAAATCTACCTAAGAAGAATGAATTAATAATGTGATCATTTTGAGTACAATTAGTCTAACATTTTATGATAAAAGCCCATGAAATTAGTCAGAATAAAATTGTCCATTTTTAGTATGTAACCAGTGCATGAGTTAGGGATCTGGAATTGCAGCTCACAGCATTCAATAAAAATCAACCTAGTAAGTTAGACCATGAATTAGGTGTGCACTTACTGACTAACATATTGTAAGAGATTACTTGTTAGGTGATGATTAAATATATAACGATTAACAGGTGTTTCTAGGGAGACTCTAGAAGCAAAGGGGCAGAATGCTGTTGAGAAAGTCATTGCCCCATGTAGTTTACAGTCTTTCCCCTGCTTTCCTATGTAATTTACTAAAATCATCCTACAAAATCAGAAATTCAATACAAAATGTAACATATGATGCTGACACAGAATAAACAAGAATACTATACTGTACATGCATTATGTACGTAGCCATGTTTTACATACACATTGTGTTTGAAAAGATAAGAATGCATAACTGATAACAAACAACTGGAGAATGTTATTACAAGTGCATGTATAGAAAGAATGATAAATTCTCAGTTGCTAATGCAATTATTTTTCTCTAATCTAAACCTTTGAAAATAGTAATGCAGATCAAAGGGCATATGAGTTTTGAAGGGAAATTCTGGACTTGGCCAAAGTGCAGTTTGTTCAAATCATCCTCCAAAATGATAAAGCCACTAATGAATGGGGAATATTCTTTATATCCTACCCTCCTAATGAGACACCAACTCCTACAAGTGGGGCTTTAGGGTACTTCTCATTGACATGGTCAACTACTGTAGCCATATCTTCAGTATTTGCAGCACAATACGTCCTTGCAGTCTACAAGCAAAAATATAAGTAAAGTACATATGTTTAAAAATTGGAATCTCTTCCCTAGATGAGATGCTTGAGGTGAATTACTATATGTAATTTGTTGAGATAACTTACCAAAAGCTTTGTGCCACCCATGCCTCTGTTATTGAATACAACAACCCTATATCCTTTTTTTCTTGCCTCATCAGCCATGTGAAGAGCGTAGCTCTCTTGACTACTTCCTGAAACATACATGTAATAAAGCCTAACAGGCCCGTAGCCAGGATTTGCCAAGGGGGGTTCAGTTTACAAAAATTTCCAGGGGGGGTTCACATTTGATAATATTGGCCCAAATATGGCTAAAATTGGGAAGTGCTCAAAATGGTGAAAACTGCATGATTTTGAAAGAATTTTTGGCCAGGGGGGGCGAACACCCCCTGGCTACGGGCCTGGCCAAATGAGACAACATGTCAACATGCAAATGGTAACAAAAGGGTAACAATTGTTAACAAGCCATCAACATGCAAAATGTCACCACCTGCCACTTGTTACAGACGCCTGAGACTATTTTATGTAAAATGATGGTCTCAGCAGATGCCTAACCCCTAGATACCAAACACCAACCACAATAAAATTGGAGAGCTGACCATTGACACAAATGACAAAAATACTAATTTTATCATTCCTTGGAGGTGACATAAAAAAAGTTGTAGCTTTTATGTTGTCTGTTTCTGCCTGGAAAACATTTTTTTTTTAAATTTTTTTAAGTTAATGTTATTTCAAAATATACATCAAATCTCATCAATTGTGCTTTGTCCAATAGTTCCAAAGAAAGGCTTTATTTCAGGATGACCCTGCGAGATCCAATAAAATACATGTTTTCCATGCAACCTTTGACCACATCTAACTTGATAATATCCATTTCCTCAAGTCATTCCTTACCTGTGAGCCCAGGAAGCACTATAACTGTAGGTCTAGTATTTTTATCACAATATGTTTCACTATTATCATTCTCCATCCAATCTAGCTTGATCATTCCACCATCAGGTGTTTCAAGGATTTCACTACAAGTACAAATTCGAACACGAAGACAGTAGATCTAATCCGAACACCACAGCAAAAAGTGTTCAGATAAGCAGGTGTTCACATTCCAAGATTTCTTAATTTGCTGGTCAAACAAAATTTGGGCCGAAAAAAAAGTGTTCACACATTCAGAGGTGTTCGGATTAGAGGGGTGTTTTGATAGGTTTTACTGTGCATTTTATATTAATTTATTAAAGGGACTCACCCTCTAATGAATTACTTTAAATAACATAATGTAAATATAAAGGCTTGAAAAATTGCTCAGCAAAGGTGTATCTGAACAGGTGTACTGGTATTTTAAAATTTTAAAGAGATACCCTCGTCTAAATGATCTTGGAACTTACAACGCTACATAGTATGTGATCAATTGTACAGTAAAACTGTTCAACTTATTACCTAGCATAATTAATGACTGGGTTAGATTTCATCAGAGATCGGAGGATGGTTTGGCCTCTGGATTCAAAGCACCATAATGTTGGCCAGAACTTCTCATGTAATATGGGACAATGGGTCATCAGAAATGCCTTCAACTTGCTGTCTCCACATGCTACCAATGGTTTCTGTAAGAAAATAATGGGTCCATCTTACAACTGAGAACAGTTGAGAATTAGTTGCTCCATTGTGATTGTGATATTCTTTTGCCTTGAAACAAAAACCTTTTATGCACATCAATTATACTTTTAAATACAGTAAAACCTTTGGTACCTCAACACAGTATTCCACTTCCAAAGTTTTCAATATCAGAGGGTAATTCTACATTAAGTTAATGCGAAACTGAACTTTGGAATGTTTCAGTTATTGATGGGTTCAGCTTGGAAAGGTGTTCCACTTTACAAGTTTTACTGGACTGTCATAAATTAGGACAAAAGAAGACTTCATAGTTGGTGACCCTCCTAGCATCGAAGCAACCTTAAGTCCAAGCAAGAAGAACAATGGCAGTGAAATATATAATTTTCAATATAAATGAAGATGAAAATAAAATGTATACATCAAATTGTATTCAATTGTGTATTACAATTTTAAGAGAAGGACTGGGTGAAATAAATTTTTTTTAAAGAGATGTTGCAACAGAAAATGGTTATTTAATTAATCAATGTTAGAAATTTAAAACTTGTAAATATACATAGCACACATACGGTAAAAAACTGGTATTTAGTAAAAGTACAACTTGGTTTTGGTACACTTTTTATCTACTTAAAGTACATGTAAATAATAGAACTAAAATTAAGTGGAAATGTTGAACTTTAATCTATCAAGTCAATTAACCAATCAATGAGTTCAACATAATAATAGTTGAAGTGTTATATATCATTGCACTGCATGACACAAGTGATCAAGGCCTGTCCAAAGCATGTGCCTTTTGAATGTGGCCCCATGTGCATCATATATAACAATTATTACAATAATTTTCAATATACTTTACCAAAGGTCTAATTATTATAAACTACATGGGGATATCATACATCTTTGGGATAATACACATTTGTAAAGGCTATTTAGTCATCATATAAACCAGAGACATAATTATGAATATTTTTTGTCAAATTTATGTAATGTTCTGATTTGCTAACAACAGGGGGAAAGCTAGAAATCCTGAATAAACAACAATGCCAATCTCCACAACAGTTAACCGTCCAAAACACTCTTGTTTCATATGAGCACATATGTTCAAAAGTGATCTGACCATTTGGTAAATAAGAAAAGATGGGAGACACTACTGAGCATAATCGGACTTCAAACAGAAGTAAAGACAGGTAACATGCAAGTCCAAAGTGATACACCTAAGTGTATGTAACCGACTTTGCAACAATCATGGCTAGTCAGCATGTTACATCTGGGATTCAGATACTCCAGGGACAATATCAAAATAAAAATAATGATTTATGACAATAAAACAAAAGTAATTACAATGTCAGTTGAATCCCTTCTCCTTAAACCTGCACATCGCTCCAAAACGCAATATGTTGACATATATTGTTTTTACATTTTCAAGCTCTAATATAAAGTTTATGTAAATAAAAATTGTTTTTTTCTGCGTAATATCAAAGAACTATCATTTAGTTAAAAAAATAAAAAGGCTGGTGCGGGATTCGAACCCGGGCCTCCCGCGTGCTCAGCGAGGATTCTACCCGCTACACCACCGTATTATTATGAAAGGTTGAAGTAATTAAACGCTACTTATTTTGAATGCTATGATTCGGAAGTGACGTCACGTTCTTCATTTAGAAACCTTTCCAAAATCATATCGCCGGCACCGATCGAAGCAAATTCAATGAAAAATCTTTGAAATGACACATTTATCGTAAGTATTTCTACACAAGATTTGCCCCATTTGTTCATCATTCTATAATCTTTCATTAAGCTCAAAATGATAAAGTTCACCCCCGAAACAACCCAAGATTGCGTTTCGGAGCGTAGTCCAGCTTTAAATGTAAATGCATTGATCATGGCCCCAAATTTTTTAATCAACTTTTGCCAAAAACATGATAACTTATGTTTTTTTCTTGTAAATTGATATATTGATAAATTCCATAGCCTTTGGTATATAGTGCATTTAGCTAACGTAGCTTGGAAAATACTTTTGCTCCAGCAATTTTAATCAATGAATTTTACTGGATCATCATTTTAAAATTAGGCCAAAAATAAAAAAAGGCACAGGACGTGAACGAGATCACACCATCAAATAGGCAGACACTATGAACCAGGAAAACTGTTCTCCTATTATGTTTACAAATTTCAAGAACAAGAAAACAAGATGGCCGCCCAAAAGTTAATCAGCTCTAGTACTTGATATCCTCTATCATTTGTGTAAATTTGAAGGAAATCCGATGAGCGGTTTTCCTGAAATGGCGATGACAAGATTTTTCGAAAAACCTTCAAAATGGCCGCCAGAAAACAAGATGGCCGCCCAAAAGTTAATCAGCTCTAGTACTTGATATCCTCTATCATTTGTGTAAATTTGAAGGAAATCCGATGAGCGGTTTTCCTGAAATGGCAATGACAAGATTTTTCGAAAAACCTTCAAAATGGCCGCCAGAAAACAAGATGGCCACCCAAAAGTTAATCAGCTCTAGTACTTGATATCCTCTATCATGTGTGTAAATTTGAAGGAAATCCGATGAGCGGATTTTCTGAAATGGCGATGACAAGATTTTTCGAAAAATCTTCAAAATGGCTGCCAGAAAACAAGATGGCCACCCAAAAGTTAATCAGCTCTAGTACTTCATATGCTCTATCATATCTGCGAATTTGGAGAAAATCTGATGAGCAGTTTTCCATAAACGGCGATGACAAAAAGCGGGACGATCACGACCACAATCACGATCATGACCACGACCAGTATGACGACTATATCCCACCGATGGTGTGATAAAAATAATGCCCAGTATTTACTCGAGTCTCTAGCCAATACTTGGCTAGAGGTGATTTCATCTGGAATACTGTGAACTCCATTTGAAAAAAGGTGGCTGCCGTGTCATAAATTTATCGAATATTTTAAAAATCGCCAGATAAATAAATCATTAATTAAAATGGAACCGGCACGGCTCCTTGAGGAATTTTTGGTGATAAAACCAAAAGTCGCAATTCAAATTGTGATGTGGAAAAATGGCGGACATATGATTTCAAATTTTATGATTACGACATGAACAATTGTTCATGCAGGAAATTATCTTTCCAGGAAGGCCATGATACAGTGGCCTTAGAAGAGGGTAACCCAGTATTAATGTCAGCTTGTTAGATCTATATATTTTTCATCTGTTGCCAAGTTTATGTGGGAGGAGCAAATTTTGAGCCAGAAGAATCGAAACATAGTACAGTAGTCCTGGAAAGAAAATCCAGCCCCTCCAATTCTACATCAAAACAGAAAGTAGAGCTGACCTAAAAGAAAATCTGACAGTGACATTCCCAGGAAAGATTTTTCAAAATGTTCATCAAAAAAAATTATGCAACTTTGTGAGTTTTTCAATCTGACAGGTAGACTAAGTCAAAGTTTTATTTTGATCACTTACCTTTGCAACGTGAAACAAATAGTAACTTATATACGCAACTCCGAACCCACAGAAAAGCGGCAATGATGGGTATTTCTTGAAATAATCGATTAATTTTTCCATGGACTCCCTCATTTTGCAGATCTGTCAAAAAGTTGAACTTTGACATCCAGCCAACCTTGACCTTGGGATATTTTACAGCTGTTTTTTGGCAAAATGATAAAGGTCAGTGAGTAATAATCAGATAGATATTTTCTCTATGTAGTTTATCTAATTTTATACGGTATTATAATTTGCAATTATTGAGTAAATTTTATTACGAAAACTCTAAATTGTGTAGCTTTGTTGAATGATTTGCAAAATTTTCAAGATGGCGACCGGTGCACTTTTTGGAGGTTCAACTTCTACTCGCCCTCAGAGCAAGAATCTAGTCGAATTCAGGGCTGGGAAAATGACTCTGAAAGGGAAGATGGTTACTGCTGATAAGAGGAAGGGATTCCTGTATGTTTATCAATCGGATGACGCTCTGATGCACTTTTGTTGGAAAGACCGTACCTCAGGACAAGTTGAAGATGTAAGAAATGCAACTTCCGGGTTTTGTTTACAGATTATTTTCATTATTTGGCATTCAGTCAATCTCCAATGGCAGTGGGCGGAGAAAGAGATGCTACTTATGTCCTATTACTCCAAATTTTCCCATTTTTTCACTCTTCAGAGATGAAACATCCAATTTCTTACTTTCTTCTTTTTTCACTTTTTTAGCCTAGAGTTATCGAATTCTACGACCACTTTAGATTGTGGTCGTACGCGCGTATAATTGGTCAGTCAATGTTTGTACAAAGTTTGAGAAAATACTACGCATTGCACACCTAAATGACCTACCTCGATACATTCCTTAGTATTTTAGAATTCTTTTTATGTAGACTAGTTGAATCGCCAATTGTATGGGTTTATCTGCAGAACGAAGAGGTTTTCATTTTGGATAGCAATATTTGCGTGTAATATTTAACTTATTTCAACCGTCAAATTCCTCCATTCAGTTCCCGGCATGCACCAGTCATAAGGGAAATCCCTGGGGAATTCCCCTTCCGACATTTTGAAAATTGCTGATATATTTCCGATGTAAAAACTAAAATCTCTTCATTCTGCCGATAAACCCATACAATTGGCGATCTAACAACATAAAAAGAATTCTAAAATACTAAGGAATGTATCGAGGTAGGTCATTTAGGTGTGCAATGCGTAGTATTTTCTCCAACTTTGTAAAAACATTGACTGACCAATTATACGCGCGTACGACCACAATCTAAAGGGGTCGTAGGATGCGATAAGGCCTAGAGATGAAACATCCAGTTTCTGAGTTCATTTTTTAAATACAAGAATTGATATAAAGTTCAACCTTATATACATATTAGACCCCCCCCTCCCAATCAATAGTAAACTTTCTCTTGGAATAATAAATCTCTCAGATTTGTTGAATTTTCTAGCAGAAATTGCCTGCTCCCCCTCCCCTCCACCCGTTTTTTTCTGATCACGAGGCATGGCTTTGTAACTATTTTTGCTTTTGTTCACCACATATTTCAGCTGGTCCCATGAAACTCTACTTTTGACATACCTGCACTCTAGATTCTACTGTATCTTAAATTTCTAGGACCTGATTATCTTCCCGGATGACATTGAGTTCAAGCATGTGCCACAATGTACAACTGGAAGAGTATATTTACTGAAGTTCAAGTCTTCCAGCAGGAAGTTCTTCTTTTGGATGCAGGTTTGTCATTTGATTAATATCCTTGAAGAAAATATGTATTTAAACTTACATTCTGTCCCTCTGTTTCATCAATGCTCTGAAATCAGTTAACTTGAGTTCAAGAATGGTAGATTAGCTGCATATTATATTCTGTATGGTACATGTACTTTGATAAAATAAGAAACGAGAAAAAGTTATTGCCATAATTAGACATTCAAAGAACACTATCATCTTAATGTCAAGTTGTGACCTAATTTCACATATTTGTACATATTGATTATAGGAGCCTAAGTCTGACAAAGATGAAGAATATTGTAAGAAGGTGAATGACAGTCTGAATAATCCTCCTGCCCCAGGGTCAAATCGTGCAGCTGGGGGTGGAGCTGGAGGCCCTGGCGGACTAGGAAACTTACCCCCAGAGCTTGCAGCCAGTTTAGGTGAGATACATTTTTAATTATTCCCAGCATTCACACATTCACACAGTTAAATTTGCAGTTAAGTGTATTGTAGAAATTATACTTAGTCAGGATTGATAAGAATTATGTGCCTTGTCTAGAAAAATCCATGGGTAAACACTGCTATTTATCTTGATTTCTGAAAATAGAAACTACATGTTTAACAACTGAATAGTATATGATATGTTGTGTTAAATGGATGCAATTGTGATTTTCAGGTGACTCTGACCTCCAGAGCATCCTTGGAAACATGAGCCAGCAACAGTTAATGCAGCTGCTTGGGGGTATGGGAATGGGTGGAGGGGGAGGGGGCATGTCTGGTCTCTCTGCTCTAATGGGGGGACAGAGGCCTGCCAGTGCTCAGTCAACAGAGTCGTTGTAAGTACATGGAATACAGGGTTACAGTTTTTGAATACTTAATTAATTTTGATGGTGAAATGATTTAATTATTTGATGCAGACAATTATTTTAAGATATCAGATATCAATTTGAAGTTGTTGCCATTGCAATGTTATATTGGTGGTACTGATATTCTGCTCTGTATTTAGATAGCACATACCTTTTAGTTTAAAACAGTGTTATTCATATTCTAGGCCAGCTCGTGTACAATCCAGCCCAGGACCGAGGGTAACAGCAGCCAGTACACCTGCTACTGAACAACGCCCTGCAACAGCTGCAGTCCTACCTTCTCAACCCTCCAGTGTGATCACCCCTGCCACCCCAGCTGGAGCTCAACCCCCTGCTGCCTCAACAAGTGCACCTGCCAGGACTGACTCAGCCTCAGCTGATCAGAGGATACAGCTCAGTGATCTACAGAACATCCTCTCTGGCATCAGTAAGTTCTTCATTTCACTTTTTGCTATTTATTTTAGTTCTTCATTTCACTTTTTGCAATTTATTTTAGATATATTGCCAGATTGTGCTTTAAATGACAAGTTACATTACTAAAAAATCTGAATTCACACAACACAATTCTATAAGTTGGGTCAATTGAGCGGTAGCTTGATTTCTGTTGAAGAATTAGACAATTTTTATTTACATCATCTGCCAATTTACATCTTTGGCTAAATTTAACATAACTCCCTTGATTTACCAGTTTGTTGTTTTCATACAGTAGACACATGAATTTTGGTTTATAATAGGTGTACCAGAGCAGAAAGACCAGGTTGACTTAGGTGCTTCATTGAACCCAGATACCATGATTCCTATCTTAGCTAACCCTGAGGTCCAGGAACGCCTTGTGCCCTTCCTTCCAGAGGGAGAGAGTCTGCCTAAGACTGAGGGGGAGCTCAAAGCAACTGTAAAGTCTCCCCAGTTTCAACAGGTTTGTACATGATACATTGAGTGCAGGATGCGATTTCTTATCCAGTCATGCAGATGTATATAAACACATATTTAAGCATCTTAATGTTTTGTGTGAATGTTTTTTATGTTAACAAGTGTTTGGAGTCAATACATGCTACATCTGTAAAAATATTGAAAACTTACAAAGACAAACTGCCAGCATAATGTTGAATTCCTAATTTTTTTAATGTAGCAAAAGTACACATCATACATTAGTGTTACTAAAATGATATCATCGTAAACACACAAATTCAGAACAGTTGCCAGTTGCTTAGAAACATAACAGACTTTGTTATTTATGCCTGATTACTTTTTTTCCAGGCATTAGGTGTTTTTAGCCAGGCTTTAGCATCTGGACAACTTGGTCCACTCATGAAGCAGTTTGGTCTTGGAGATGATGCTGCAAATGCTGCAGCTGCTGGAGGTCAGTACACTTTTTCCTAGGAACAGTACACTTGATCCTAGGGACAGTACACTTGGTCCAAGGGATATACCACGTAATCCCAGGGACAGTACACTTGATCCTAGGGGCAGTATACTTGTTTCTATGGACAGTACACTTAATCCAAGGGACATTACCCTTGATCCTAGGGACAGTACGCTTGCTCCTGGGGACAGTCCACTTTTTCCATTATTTACTTTGGTAAATTTACCATTTTAGATTTCTTTCAAAGATTTGTCTCTACAGCTTTATCTGTATCTTTACAGCTTTATCTTTATCAAACATGCATTTAGGATGCAAGAAAAATCTTAACTATTTAGTTGAAAATACCCTTTCCTGTGGATTTCTTGAAGTTTTGACATTAATTTATGTTATCAAACTATGCTAAATCACTAAATTAAAACAGGTACCAAATAACTAGTAGTTGAAAAATTAGGTCTTCATTTATAAGTATACAGTATAGTTATCAATCTCACAATATATATGCGAACATAAATTCATTCTTTTCAATTGTTTTTACAGATGTTGAGGCTTTTGTGAAAGCAATGCAGGCTCAGGAACAGGCAAAGAAAGATGGAGGTGAAGAAAAGATGGACACTGATTGAGTTTAGATTATGCTGTGACCATCGAAGGCTTGGAATTATGATTATGAATGAAGGACTTCGATATAACTGAAACTCTACAAGTTTTGTATTGCTCCTACAACTACCTACATTTATCAGAAATTGAAATTCTTGAAATATTGTGAAGAGAAAAACATACAGAAATAAATTATAACAATAATTAGTAGATTCTTAATTTTTATTGTGCTGTTGACAATCGTATTTACCAAAACAGTCGAACATCACATAAAAGGATTTTTAACACATTTTTTCTAAGTTGGGTCGAGTCACGAACAGCTATTTACCAATTTCGAGTCAGGTCAGAACACTCAGGAATATTGTAAAATGCTTTATATTCCAGCAAAAATTTCATACTTTTAGCTTGCCTATTTCTTGTATACATATAAATTAGGAACATAAAATAATTTACAGTTCTTCTCTACAATTTAAAGTTTCTATCAGTTTTCCTTTATCAAAGCATAACATGCAGTAATGCAGGCTAAAACAGTCTTATAATGTGCTGTATATTCATTATTCACCCAGTCATTTTAGTTGCTACTTACTACTAAATCATTTTTGTTCTCACTCGACCCAAAATTACCTGACCCACACCCTTTTTTCTGGCCCGAGGAATATCTGACCCAGACACCTCTAGTAAATAACTTATGGAAATTTCTTAATAGGATTTTTCAGGCAGTTCTCGTGTACTTTTGGGGATTTTGTGATTAGGCCTAGTTCATAACGAACATTTATGCTGTGTTTATCCATTGCAGCTATTTGTATTATATTATTAAAATCACAATTGCTCAAGTCATCAGTTTTTGAAAAAATGCAATTTTCAGATATTTAAAAATTTGATTTTGATGAAAAATGTGCTGTATATCACAAAAGGGTCGTCATTTGCTATGGGCATAAAAAATATCTAAAAATTTCATTGCCATTATGAAGAACACCTTTTGTAATTTGCTCAATTATGAAAATAAAGAACTAACAGAATAATATATTCATATGAAAAACAATATATTCTTTCATATATCATCCACCATGACACAAATATTATGCTAGATTTAAACATGATATATAAGTTATAACTGTAGAAGTACAATCCGCAGGATCAAAGGCACAAGCTATATTTTACAAAAGGCCATGATTTATATGTACAAAAAACTCAGTCAATAAGGCTTTCAATAAAATGACACAATTATTTGTCATTTTCAAAATATTATTAAGGCTTATAAGGCAATTTTACTAAAAAAAACATAGTAAAAAGGAATACAAAATTGCAAAACAATTTCAACTGATTAGTAGTTCCCTACCCACCATTACATGCATTAAGACAAGTTGTTGATAAGCTAGGAACATACAATCTTGCTGAAAATCTGTTTGCACCCTGTTAAAATGAAAAGGGTCACCAAATACAGTATAACATGACCATAAAATGACAAGTGGGCACATATTTCTTTTGTTAGTCCATGTTTTCTTGATTGATGCGTTCTTTAGATTTGCATCTCAAGACTGGTGGAAGCCACTTGTAAATGTAATTAGAATTTGTACCATTATTGAAGAATAACATTTACTGTAAAACCTGTTAAGTTAAATACTTTTGGTATCTCTAAAGGTCTTACTTAACATCTTCTTAGAAGATGACTTGAATAATCTCACTTTGGTTTAACACCATGAGGCTAATACTCATTTATCTGAGTGATAAGCATTTTATCAATCAATGTTTAATCAACTTTGAAAGTTTTAAACTAACATATATAACATTCAAATGGAACTCTTATTTACATTTCTCTTTCTATTAACAAGAGCATACATGTTCAGTTTACTGTATGTTGTAGCACATATACAACTACCACACTTCAATTCATCATAATTATATCATAATTAAATCAATCATTTTTCAATTTTCCCCTTCATATCATTTGAAATTCCACTGCTATTTACTATTGGAAGTCAACTGTTCCACATGGATGGTGACATAAAAGGCACAGAAGTGTCATGAAGTGTCAGACTTATTAAAATCCAAAGTGGACATGTTTGCAAAGTTTAATTGAAGCAGTTGCGACACACATATGGCCAATTTTCTTTTGGCTTTACCATTCCTCACATTTTAGAACATACCAGGCCCGTAGCTAGGGGGGGGGGGGGTTCAATGGGTTTGCCCCCCCCCCTGGCCAAAATTTCTTTTAAAATCATGCAGTTTTTCACCATTCTGAGCACTTTTTAAGTGATTTTGGCCATTTTTGGACCAAATTGCCAAATGTGAACCCCCCTGGAATTTTTCAAAGTGTGAACCCCCTTGGCAAATCCTAGCTACACTTTCACAATATTTATCATTTCATACCAAATCTCATATCACTGTAACTCAGAACTGAATGAGATTTCACTAAATAAAACTGTTGACATTAGTAATCCAACATCTATCACATCGTTTTGAGATTTTCTTTCTTGATCTGCCATTGTTCAGTTTAATCACTATTACAAACTGGTTGGCAATTCAGCTATTGTTTTCTACTCCAATACTCCTTAACTAGAAATTAATAACAAATCATATCACTTCCCATCTTCTTTTTCCTACTCCCACTGTTGAACTGGAACTCCATATTTTGCATTGTCTGTCCGACTTCAGTGTTTAATCTATTGCCATAATTACCAGAGTTTGTATTGGGAACATTTATATCTTCAGAAAACTGAGATTTGTTAGTAGGTTCCTCTTTTGCTGACTTTGGACGACCCTGGAAATACAAAATAACCATGAGGCTTGTTTGACTGTTTGTGAGTATCTTAATAATGTATAGTCAGTCTGTGGAACAAGGAAGCCATGGAGTGTTACATCCAAAAGTTTAGATTTGGATATGAAGTTGATTGGATGGCAAAATTAAAATTTAGCTGGATGATACAAATTCATTAAGTATTAATGTTGCTGGGAGTGAGCCCTCAAAGTTGTAGTAAAATAATGATATTGGTACAAAAAAATAATTTCAAGAGTAGAAAATACTGAATCTGTTCACACATTTTCTTCCCATTAGAGATTACTCATGTCTTTGATTTCCACGTTCTTTTAAACAATAAATCATTTGTTACCCTAGCCACAATTAATTACATGTCTAATAATTGCTTCAGGAAATTGGTTATTTTAAAGCATTCACAAGATGTTGTGTGATAAGTTGGTAATTGATTGGCTAGGAAAGTAGGTACCTGTCACTATACAATGTAATCTATTACACTGTAGCAGAAAAAAGCATGTGATCGAAGAATAAAGCCTTAAAGGTGTTCCGAGTATTGATCACACTGATAATGTTGAAACATATACCTCTATTGTGCTTTACAGGGCTTAGCAAATCAAATTGCGTCGACTTACCTTAGGATCAAATTCTGTCATGAAGCCCCAATTTTCCTCCCTGAAATACATATTATAATTTAGTAAGGACACACAATGAGTGTACATCTGAAATACATCTAAAAATCTAAAATATGTACTGTGCTATATACAATTAAAAACAGTCTAAAAACTTTTTTTGTTATCTGAAAACGTGAAATCACTTTAATTATTTGTACACGCTTAACCAATGTGTAAGCTTAATTGACTTTGACCAACAGACCTGGTCTGAAATAGCGAGGCGACCTTGCAAGAAGTAAAATTTACTCACCATTCCTTAACTCCTTTCTTTTCTTTGTTGACTGACTGTTTCCATACTTCATCCTGAGTGACAATATCACACTTGGTATAGTCTGCTTCTGTGTAATTCTGTCTTGGAGGTGGGACACTGACATTCTTCTTGGCTGCAGGGATACAGGACTCGTGGTAGGCACTAGTGGGACGAGAAGCAAGAGGAAAACGATAACCAGCTGATGTGGAACGTTGTTGACTTGTTTCCGCTGTCATAATTGCAATGTTTTGGAATGACTATACTATTTGATATAGTAAAAACTTTGTGATATAAACTCAGCCCGTTTAGCAGGCTATAAAGCCTATAATCAAGGTAGATCGATTTCTTGAGAGAGAAAATCAATTTTGAAAAATGAGAAATTGAAGAATTGATTTTTGAATCTCTTGAATTTTTTTTCATTTGCTCCAATTTATTCAGTCGTATTGCTCATATGGCCCTATTTCAAATCTTTTAGTTTATCGATAGACTGCTTGTCTAAATCACTTATTTAGTTGATTATATTATCTCAATAATCCAATTTATTGACCTCAAATCAGGATAAATAAGATCAATTTTGTCACCAATTGTGTACGGTTGTCAATAGTAACGCAGGTGCGCCATGACACACCAGAACATATTTTACGGTTCTGTCACCTTAAACACGAACGGGGCTTTAAATAGAAACTTCATGAAAGTGTCCAACATCAACAAAGTCGATGCATTAATTTTCAGTTGTCAATCATTAGTTGGGGCTTCAAATATTGAAACAATAATTACTCGTGGTAGAAGAGATTACTAATACATTTACAATTTTCAAATTTCGCACCGTTCTTGTCTCATGATACCACAGTGGTTTTCTGACTTTGGGGGGGGGGGGGGAGGTGCCGTTTTATCATATCTCTGAAGCTACATAGTCAAATTAAACTGCTGGTTTTGGTGACTGGATGATGAGTTGTTTGTGTCAGACTATGGCACGATTCTATTGCAATTATGACAGACTTTTTTCAAGTCACATGCTTTATATAGAACCATGGGCTTTCAACTAGAATTATCTAATTGAAGGCCCATGGTAGAACATTTGTTATTAATGCATTTCACTTAAAATCATGAATTATTTATTTATGAATTCGGTATCTCCATTCGAGATATGCCTAGTGCTCTTATATAATATAATACAAGTAAAATATATAATATAATATAATATAATATAATACTGGTATATTATAACATAATATGATATAATAAAATATAATGCTATATAACTTATTTATTTTAATATAGCACAACTTATAATATGGACAGTATACGATTCTACTAATAGCTAGTATTAATTAAATGAAACGTTACCGTCTTCATGTTATGACTATTCAGATTGGATAGGCTCAACATGATAAAAGTTTAAACCATGGACATCACGATTCCATCATTAATAAACACATACCTCTTCCCTGGTTTTCCTCCATCGTTGTAGTAAGAGAACATCATACTTGATGGCTCTCGTGCTTGGTTGGGCTCCATCTTGTTTCCCAATACTTACAACTATTGTCTTACCGTCGTGACAGGATAACCCTGGCGTTATCTCATTAAGGTGCTCTATCTAAGTGTTTATTATGTTAATTATATCAAACTAGTAATATATTTATTCCTTATATCACACTTATTCATAAATTCATGATTAATGTTATGCTGGTTTCCACAGCGACCGATTTAGTAATTTAGTAATGAGATCCCAGAATGATGTTCCCGTTATAAATACATCAATAAAAGACTTGTCGTTTCAGCTTGGATAGCTCTCAATACCTATGAATTGTTTGAAATAAAGCTTGATCTAGCATTTGGATCGATTTATAAGGGTTTCCTAGCTTGTTCAGGTGATAAAGCACTCTTCGGTGTATTTATATTATTCTATTACAAGAGGATTATCCTCCCTGTTATCTTGTCCTTGATACGATCATGGGCATTCAATAGCCCATGATATGATTGTGTTCATAAAGGATTATTTTTTAAGGGGAGACGTCCTTATGTTCGTGCTTATTCATTATGTGATATTATTATTAAATTCTCGAGTCAACTGTGAATTATAATAGGTACCTGTGTGCGTTGTTCTTAGTATTTGTTCTAAGTGTGTATTGGTTGTAAAGCTTGATTCAATAGTTTTATAGACTTATCTTCAACTTATTCAACATTTATTGTAAATAAGTCTTTGAAACCCTTCGCATGGCTGTTCTATGGGCCATTGGCACCCATTGATACAAAATATCATAATTGAATACCAAATGCAATGCAATTGAACAATTTAGAATTAAGAGAACTGACATCCCTACGTGAGATTTCTTCACTTTCTAGACTACAATTGAAGTTCTTTTTAGAATTTGTCCCCCTTTATCATAAATGTTTGTTTGGTAAACATTTTATGGATACTCTTACTTGAACAGCGCCCTATCTTAAATTCAATCATTTATTATTCCTTTAAAATTGGCATTCAATATAATAAACTAATCTCAATAATCTTGTTTTTATTATTGAAATCATGACAAAAGATCGAATTATAATGTAATAAATGTTGCTATATTGCACGTTCACCATATTCCAAACATAAAATGGAGGTTCAGTTGACATTGGATCAACAATTATGTGACAATCATATTTGCCCATATGTTATAAAATTCCAATATTTTCTTTGTTTATGTAATATTGATTAAACTATACTTATCTAAGTGTTCATGTCCATACAAGAAAGACCTGAGTCAATGTCATAAATGTGGGCTATTTGTGCTGCATTGTAAGGCAACCCAGAGTTACTTAAATATTTCAATATCTCCCTATAATAATTAAAAATATTACTTACTTTAGCTTTACGTTGACATCTTTTGACAACAAAGCTTCACAACAGTATTGAGGAACGTTTGGCAAATGAAGATAATATTTATAAGTCCTAACTCTACCTTGAGCCGCCAGTTTTGTGAAGGGCAACGCTGCCTGGTAACCCAACCGACATCTTCTTCTGATTTCTCTCGAACAACTCCAATCAGCGTGTTGTTATTATGTTGACGATCGTGTATATGTTTTTTACAATGTGTGATATACATAAAGCATCTTGTTATTCATCCCGTTTCCCTAGTTACCGTAAGTGCTGTGGTTATCCCTAATGTAAAAGTATAATTAAATGTATGAATACATTGAGAACTTGCGATGTGCGTTTTGTTAAATACAGACTAGGTGATCGGATAACATTATTATATTCACATTAATTAATCAATGAAGACATTTAGTTTACTTTATAAATACTTTATAATACTAATAATTTTACAATATAAGAGATAACTTACAATATCCCTTGCTCATGTATACCCTTAATTAACTCAACAAAACACTACCCGAGAGCAGATAATGTAACAATCTTCACTTACCCTGCGCCGAGTTATTTGTAAATCCTTATACTTCAAGAAATATTAATCAATAAAAATTATTGACGATGTAATTCATACAAATAGTTCAATTCTTCCCCTGAAACCTATAGAGGTATCTGAAAATGCTCCTAGATGACTTGAAACACACTATTGTAATCTTGCTTGGCGTTAACTAGAACCTCATACGTTTAATGCCTGCGATACAATAAGGATTGAATTTATAAGGCCTATATTAAGTATTCAGTATTTACCAAATAAATACCAGTCGCTTATTATTTGTTGCGTGATATTCTTATTGCGATGTGATTGCATTATAACTTGTCAGTCTTCGGTTGTAATAATGACAGCTTTATCAAATTGTCATAATGATTATTAAAGTCATTGATTGATCGTGAGCCCGCATCGCCAGTTGATATTTAAGCTTCACACCCGAGGGTGACACTTCATGAATTAAAGATCGTTTAATATAAAAGGTACATGTACTAGGAGATCAAAAAATCGCTTAACGTCGCATTTACCTCATTCTGATACTCCTAGCATCTTTCTGCTTCAGAAATACAAAAACGGCTGCTTCAGGTACAATAATATACATGTACCCTCTTATCTAATAAATGCACCCCGGGTTGGATTCTCAACGTTTGACTAAGAATTGAAAAAGGGACGAAATTGAGTATAATCAGCCAATGATATTATGTATATGTAGATGCTTGGTTATGTAATCTTGAATCGAAGAAAATGGTCCAACCACGGGCTTTCATATTTCAGTGACACCACATTATCTCGTTGGGCTACCTATTGCCAGGCCCGTAGCCAGGGGGGGGGGGGGGGTTCGCAGGGTTCGGGCGAACCCCCCTGGCCAAAATTTTTTTTCAAAATCATGCAGTTTTTCATTATTTGAGCACTTTTCAAGTGATTTTAGCCATATTTGGGGCAAAATTGTCAAATGTGAACCCCCCCCTAGAAATTTTTGAAAATTGAACCCCCCCCCCCTTGGCAAATCCTGGCTACGGGCCTGTATTGCTCATACCATTCGTTCAGTCTCATGTAGCTGTTCTATAAAAAACGTTCCCAGAGTTCATGATCTTTTCCAGAAAATTAAAGATTTTTAGACATGATTTTCCATTTTTCGATAAGTATGGATACTCATATAGTTATATTCTGGACGAATTTTGCATTTCGGAAGAACGTCCCTATTTGATGAGATATCATTGATATTTTGAAAAATAATTCTAGATGGTAAACAATGCGTAATTTGGGCAACTGTCCATGGATTACTCAATGTTCTGTTTTACAAGAAATTTTGTCGCTTTTCTCTGATTCTGACTCTGAATTATCAGTACAACGATGTTCCTTCAGGATCGCGACAAGTCGTTATTGTAATTAAATGTTCATTCAATTAATAGATGGCACGCCCTGACGTAGAACCCATAATAAATATTTTGAATGGTACTTGCTTCTTACCCTTTGCATTCGTTTGACTTCACTTCTTAAAAGAGAGCTTCGTCTTCTGTAGTTTAACTAGACTCTGCACACAGGGTACTTGCTTCTGGACAATTACTTACAAAAATACGTCATTTGACGAGATGCATCATTTGACAATGTTCATATGACGAATATAGATGTCACCGTTTATACCTAAACAAATATTTTAGTTAGTGCAACAGTTTCTACACCAAGCTTAAGACCAATAAAATGACCATCATCATTAATTTGTTCGTAGTATTGTAGCATTCATTATTTATGCCTGCAATAAAAATCAAGCTACATGAAAAGGGAGGAAATATTATTTTACAGGAGAAAATTATTTCATTCATAGTAGGAAATATTTACTTTCTAACAAAAGACGAAACTAATTCTAAAGCTAGTGTTATTGCCTTTGTTTTTGACAATACACCATTAGTATGATTAGGTTCAGGAAGAGTTTAAACCAAAGTCACTCTTCCTCCGTAACCACATACACTCCGGTTCCAATACTTTTTTTAATTACCCCCAAAACAATTTAATTCATTATCAGTGTGCAGTTCGAAGTTATAATTAAAATCTCATTATGAAGAACGAGTGTAAGACTGGCTGATTTGCTCCGAAGGACTGACGCTAAGGTCGTGTGCAATGCGCATGTTTGTCTGCAAAACGTGTGTAAGGCAACAAGTTAATGAAATTGCATTAATTACCATCATCTAGTCTTTCCAAGGCAACCTAGATAACCCATTTAATCATTTGTTTGATTGCAGGAAATTGCGTTTGTTGGAAATAACATTTGAAGTTTTACTCTCCAAGTTCAGCATTCTGTCAAACAGATACTTTCATGCAAAGAAATATAATCTGGCACAGCAGAGACATATAGAATATATAATTTATATAAGGTCTCTTGGCAAAGTTTGAAAAAAGAAGCTGTCGATCATTGACACCATCCTCATTTGCTTGGGAAATATTATATCTCACTGCTCGGGCGATAAAAATGTCTTAATAAATTTCTGATGTAAACGTAATTATTGATTTATAACAATGGTCTTGATATGAATGGCATATTGTTCACGGTGTTATGTTATTGTTATGATGTACAGGTGGGCCAGTGGAGTAAATGTTAGTCCTGAGGATAGGATAATATTGGCCATTTGAATACGTATAACTCATACAAGTTTAACTCTTCAAATTAAATTGCTAAAATAATATTATTTCTAGATAGCAAATAGCAATATAAAAATGTGCTCTTTTGAATTTCTTTTGCAATTTTAAGAAAATCAGTAAATTGAAATCAATTTATAGGAAGGTTTAAAAATAACCATTATAGTTATTGTAATGTTTATATGAAATTAGTTAGTTGAATTAGTTAAAAGATATATCATACTAACTTATTTATGCCGCTAAACGACAAATTCCTCAATACTTTCGGCATAATATAAAAGCGTATTATTTTGATAGCACCATTATCATATTTAATACCATTGTTCCATTTGGACAAAAACGTCAATACAAAACTCTACCTTTAAAGGAACTTGTTTTAGTTCTCTTAACATTGAATACTATTCGTTTGATGTAGTGTGAAAATTCAAGAAGATCAAGAGAAAAGGGTAAAACCGTTTCAGGGTGATTTGTCTAATTAAGTCGAATTATGCTGGATATAATGATGTGCAAAATCAACTAACAAAGAACACCGCTTTGATTAGGAGGATCTACAAAATTGAAAATAGTATGTGTTTGGTTGAAAAGGTTAAAGAATCTTTCACACCACCTTTGACGATATGTTTGGTTTTATATTCGCATTTCAGACAATCAGGTGATGAGGGTCAATCGTGAAATACCTTGCTGCCTGGACCTAGGATTGAACAAACCATCTAAAACCCTATAATGTTCAGTGACAAGTATTTATATAAATTATTCGATATGAGGAACGACTAGGTCCATTATAACATACATAAAGCATTGTGTTTGATATTCCCTACGTTTTACCATTGTCGGATAAACATATCGAATGCCAAAATAAAACAGTGTCAAGTTTTTATTGGTGGATACAAAATGATTTGAAAATGCTATAAAATAAAGTGTCTACAGGAATATTGTAATTCATAAGTCACCATCGTAATAATTTTCTTTGACATGCTCGAAATATGCAGAAATATGAACACCCTACGGACGTCAACATGCCAGTAGAAGTTATTTTGCTTACTTTTATATTCTGTTCTATATTCATATTTCAGTGATGGTAAAATTACATCATTGTCAATAATAGGCCATCAGCTTCACCCCAAAATTTAGGTTATCGGTATCAAATCAGGGGAATAATCGCCACAGTGATTTTTGGGAAGGTTAAGACCTCTAGAGTAAGAAACTATGTGATAGCATTGCAACAATTGTAGCTAAATGGGTGTTATCACCCATTTTTCAAAATGGCCGCCGGTGCACATGTTACAATATAAGAGTGAGTATATCTAAGCACATTGAGATGCAGAAACTGTGATTTTAGGGTCTATGTTAAGGTTTAGGGGTCAAGAATTTCATTTATGCCAAAATCTAAGTCATCAAGCAATTAGTTCTTATAGAAATCCAAGATGGCCACCAAAATGGGTGCCAAAATGAACACCTGTATGTAACCATTGATTTAAGCTCGAAGAACAGTTAAGAACAGTGATTTTGGAGATAATGTCATAGTTCTAGAGTCAAGGACTTCATTTATGTCTAAATCAGAGTCTTCAAATAATTACCTTTTCATAGAAATACAAGATGGCCACCAAAATGGGTGCCAAAATGAATATGTGACTATTGATTTAAGCTCAATGAACAGTGATTTTGGAGATCGTGTCATGGTTTTAAGGTTCAAGGATTCCATTTATGTCTAAATCTAAGTCATCGAACTATTACTTTTTATAGAAATCCAAGATGGCCACCAAAATGAATGCCAAAATGAATATGTAACTATTGATTTAAGCTAAAAGAACAGTTAAGAACAGTAATTTTGGAGACTCTGTCTATTTTGTAGGGGCCAAGGATTTCATTTATGTCTAAATCTTTAGTAATCAAATAATTTCTTCATATAGAAATCCAAGATGGCCACCAAAATGGGTGCTGAAATGAATATGTAACTATTGAT